CATTTTTTCCCACAGAAGGATTGCTTAGACCTTGTCTCATTACTTTTAGGTCTACTATTAATATCTAATGTGTGGGGTGGGACTAATTAATACATTATAATTCTAGCTCTTGCTAATTGTTGAGTGACACAGGGAAAATTATTTATGTTCTCTGGATTATAAATTCTATGTGCAAAGGGAAGATATCAAATATAATGTACCTACTTCACAAGAGTTCTGAGAAATACAACTTTGAAAATGAAATATAAAACTTTCCCAAGCCCAAAGTGCTACATAAATATTTAAGTATGTTAGGACTGATTAAAATGCCCAGTAGAGATATATTAGTCTTGCTTTAGCCCATCTATTCTCCCTTATTTTGCAAGAAATTCCAGATAAATAGGCATTGTGCATCACTCTTGTTTAAACATTTATACAAATAAGTGCCTTGGTACTGCTCTTTTTGATTCATGTCTTAATAGCCTAGGGCCTAGGCACTTGTGGTTAAGTTTAATGTTCTGCAAAGATAGTTTGAACGTTGTATTGGAACGGTTCTTTAGGGAAACATACAGTTCCTTTTGAGAGTAGTTTCAGGAAAGTCACTGATGTTCTAGGAAAAGTTGCTGCCAGATGTTTTATTTCATGCACCCCATATTTGCTTCATAAACAAGCTAATAAATGAGATCTGAATAGTATCCTGATGGGAAAGAAATGCCTACAGAGAAGGGAGAGTTGAGGATGAGACTGGCCCCTGCACTGCTGGGTGACAGAGGAGAGGGTTTCTGCTCAAGAGAGTGTGGTGAGGCTTTGCCACAGTTTGTAGCTCCACGACTGAGCTTGCCAGGCAGGAGGTATTTCCAGAGAAACAAAATGGATCTGTCCAGCTCACACCGTCTTCCCAGAGACCATCCCTCTAGTGATGGCTATCTGACTTGGAACATTTTTTTTAAGATAAGGAAATCATTGAAGTCCACTTGAAATGCAATGCTCTTTTTCATTAACTAGTTTACAGAGCACTTTGAAGCTGATGGGCTGCCAACATGGTAGGTGGATGTTTTTTCTCTAATCACTGCCTTTGACTATTGAGTCTCTCCTTCCTTATTTAGTCACCTGCATTCAGTCTGGCCTGTCCACTGTCTCCCGGTCTTGGCCAGACCTTAACCTCAGGGCTTAGGAGCAGAGAAGGAGCAAGACCTGCTCTTTCCTACTGCTTCTCTTCACTCTTATGTTTCTGCTTCTTTAGGTTTGGGCAGGGGAAGAATTTAAGAAAAGTGAGCAAAATTCTTTTTACTTTGCAAGTGTTATAGTAGTGTATCCTTGATTTTTGATTTCACCTGTTAATTTCCCAAATGTGGACTTTGCCATGAAGCTCATGTGCGTGTTCTTTGGGAGGCCACTCAACTGAGTTACTGTCTGACACATCAGATATCCACTGGCTGACTCCTTTGTGCCTGGTCCAGTGTTGTACACCCCAAAAAGTCTTTTGCTGCTTGGGCTATTGTGCCTGGCAGATGGCCTTCTTGAGCCCTGTCAGAATGGTTCAAGCTCAGCTGCCTCGACAAGGGTCTGCTTGTTTCATGGGAATATGATGTATCCTCACCCTCCTAGTGTGGATGGGGTGGGGTGGGGATGCTTGTCAGATAATTCACTGCTCACTCCTCTCTAGAGTTTTGTTTAACTCTGCTCAAGTATTCATAGATGGCAGATCACTAAGTTCACTGTGTAGACATCCAATAGAATAAAATACAAGTTCCAAAATATATGTGTAACTGGCTTTCTTGGAACTATCATTACTTAGATAGAGAGACCCAGTGCATAACATTTTCAGTATTCACTCATGTCTCCCAGGTCAACCCTCAAAAATCCATCCTCTTCTGCTTATATACCCTGGGGGTTGCAGGAGAGGGGTTCCTGCCACCAACCTTTTAATGAGTCCTATAGACCAGGTCTAGATGGGTTTTTAGGATGTGGAGGAACTTAGTGTCTGTTGTTTTTGGCTTTGGGTGTTAGCGTCATTCTAGGGAAAAAAAGAAAATTCCCCCCAACATCCTGTTGCATTTGGAATGAGAGAACTAAAGGGACCCATTCATTATGCCACTTTTCTCTACCCAAAAGATGAAACAAATTTTATACCTGAACTAGATTTTAAACAAACAAAAGAAGTCCTTTCATCTATTAATAACATAGAAAGTTTCTGAATATTGGGTTTAGGTGATGGTCAATGAGGAAGAAAATAGCTCTCAAGGAACCCAGACTGGCCTTGGCAGTCACAGCAACTCATCGTCTTTATCTCTAACTTAATTTGCATAGAGCTTTGAGTAGCAGGCATAGGAAGGGTACATGGTGGCAGCAAAGGTTCTATGCTAAAAACTCAATTCTACAAATGGCTAGCAAGATATGTAACCCATTACCCTTCAAGGTTTCAAACTTCCTCAGTTTATCAGAACAGCATGTGCCACTTTTGTTTAAAGACAGCCAGAGCAACCCTTTGCTATGTGAAGTAACAGGACAGATCAGACATGCTTCTTTTTGCTGACTACTCTGTGGATTCTGGGAGAAGGAGTGTGGCTTATGTTCCCTGGGTTAGGGCACATGGTAATGAGAGCTGTCATTTATTGGGCCTTTATTAAGCACTTGGTATTGTTCTAAGTTCTTTATCTATATTCACTCGAGTCCCCTTATCAAACCTTTACCATAGGTGTGGTCGGTATTCCCATTTTGCAGATGAGGCAGCTAAAACGCAGAGGTCACAACACTTTCCTAAGGGCACACAGCTTGGAACCGGCAGAGGTGGGAATTAATCCTAGGCAATCTGGCTCCAGAGCCTGCACTCTTAACCATTATTACTTTACCGTGGAAGTTTGCGAGAAGTAATCTCTTGAATAGACACACTCATCATGACGTCTTTATGAAGAATTCTCTGAGCCTCTGAAGTTGATTTTAAAACGTTTGGAACTTTATCAAGTTTTTAAATCTTTTTGCTTTTACTCTGTGAATCTGATATTTTTGTAATTACTAATTTTTGCTCCCCATCCAGTAAATGAAAACTAAGGCATCTAATGCAATCACATTTTATATATCTTCTAGGCCATGAGTAAAGAAAATAAGATCAAAGGAAAGAGATGTATTTTTACACAAGTAGCTACTGGCAGAGCTGGGACTAGAACTCAAGACTGTTGCCACTGTTTCTTGCGCGTTGGCTACGCAAGACTGCAACTAGAGTACTGCAACCTGGAGAAGTTCAGCTACATTTCTGTTCTGCCATGCAATCACTCACTTATTTGAGACATTTTATTGTACATTATGTGCTGGGCTCTAAATTAGGAGGTTGGGATGCAGACATAAATTAGAAATACTTCCTCTACTAAAGAAGTTCAGTCTAGTTGGGATGTCATGTGAAGTAATGGCAAAACCACATGGTAAGGGTTATAATATTGGCACTGTGTGAGACATAAAAGATGGCATAGTCAACTCGATTATAGGATAAGATGGAAAATTCTTCACAGAGGCAATGCTTGAGCTGGATTTTGAAGAATAACTAGGAGTTGGCCAATGTGGACAAAGGAAAAGGAATATTCAGAAGAACTAGCATGTACAAAGACACGGAGCATATTTGGACAATTACAAGTTCAGCAGGAGCTCAGAAGGGCTGTGGTGGGAGACAGGTAAAAGGAGGTACAGATGGCATCCCTACCATGGAGCCGTAAAATGTTTTACATAGAGAAGTAACACTGGATTTGAATTTCAGAGACACCACTCTAGTTTTCAAGAGTCATGAAGTCCAATCAGAGGCTATTTAAAATTTTAGAGGAGTCATAATTCAGATCCAAAAAGGGTAGTGGCAGTAGGGATGAAAAGGAAGCAAAAAGAGATGATTAAGAATAATTTCCCAAGTTTCCCTTGAAAAGCCCCCCAAAAGAGGGATATAGAGGTACGAAAATTAGATTTCCTTTCAGCCTATTGCCTGATTGTCAATTGATGTAGCAATTCCTGCTGGGCACACCCTAATTGCTTGGGTTCACAGGCTGCTATTCCTTTTTACGGTTACTCTCATCTATGATGTCTAGTCGGTAGTTCCTAATTCTATGGCTCCCAGGATCCCAGAGTAGCTTGCACAGTCCCTTACCTTCAGGAACCAACATGGTCTCTAGTCTCTTTCTGTGTTTCCCAGGCCCCACTACTACTCACCTTTGCATTAATAACAATGTGCTATCACCTGCACTTATCCTAGTTGTAAAGCGCTACTTAGCCTTATGACCTCTCAAATTTTCCATAGGAAATTTGCCATTGCCAACTTTCTTTCTACAGTCCTAATAGAAGTAGGGTTGTTACAAGGATTAAATGCTTCAATACTACTAAGTTCTTGCACACAAAAGGGCCCAAGAATTAGTTCTCAAGCACTATCATCTACCTGTATTGCCAGTACGATGTCATAACTGTACACAGCATTTATTGTGTTGGAATTACTTGCTTATGTGTAGCTCTCATTTCATTGTATGTGCTTCCAGGGAAAAATAATTATTACTATGCATGGGACTTTGCATGTATTAATTAATTTCACATTCTGCTATTATTCTTGATATAGAAGCAATTATTAACATGTTTTATCTCTGTTCTTTCCCCGCTATATACTTACCAGTAACAAGTGACTAGAAAAATCAAGAGTTTAAAGAATGGATGTTAATGTTGATCAGGAATTATCAGCTATGTAGGATGTCACCCTGAAGTCCTTCAGCCTTTCCCAGATACGGTATTTCTTAGTTGGAACCTTAAAATAACTTTCCGTTCTGTGATATAGGAACAGTTTATCTTAAACTGCTTTAAGATAGCAGACTATCTTAAAATGATATAGTTTTGGTATTTAATAACTAAATTATCTAAGATAGGTATCTTGCACCACTTTGTCTAATTAGCTCTTAAATCAAATGTCTTTTTCTTAACATAAAGAAAAATTACAACATAGAAATGCTCTGAAAGAATTTTTTTTGTGTTCATTTGAAGAATAAAGTACCAACTCTGCATTTTGTTAACATTCATTTTATAAAATACTTTAAAAGAACAGATAAAATACTTGAGGCTACATAATAACCAGAATTGAAAAAGAATGAATAAAATATAAATTAATTAAACACATAACTATTTTGCCACATTATACAAGTTTGAAAAAGGCATTTAAAAAACAATAAAATAGTAATTGGGGGGAAAAAATCCCTTCACTCTATTGCTGTCATTTTCTGGAAAATTTCCCCAGAATCACTAAAATTCCAGGTCAACAGGCAGTGCTTGTTATTTAAAACAGACTGTAGTTTGCTTCCAAATCTATTAGCTGAAAAGAGAAATTAAGATTTTAACCAGATTAGATAATTCAGTGCAAATTAAAGCTTCAAGTTGAAAATCTGAGAGGAAACATAATGTCCAAACTGTAGGAAATGTTTCTGGAACAAAAAAATGAAAAATTCACATTATGAAGAAATCTTTGCAAGTATTCTTGGTATATGAAATGCTGAGTTAATAAATGGGGCCCTTTGAAGTTGCAATTAGGGCTCTATTATTAAGACTATTTGCATGTGGGCAGGGGGAAATGGATAGGGAAGAGTTGAAGGTCATATTTGTGGAAGGAAGTTCAAGTTAAGCATAAACTGCTTTGATTCAATTCTAGAAAATTTGGCTAGGATTTACCAAACATCAAGGGAAAACATGATGGAGATAAATTTACTATAATACCATTGAGGTTAAGTCCTTCTATATCCAGACATGTTTGGGTAGAGAGAGAAAGGTTAATAATGGCCATGATTTATTTTAATTTTATGGATTATATATGAAATGCTGGCTTAAAAAATAATTATATTACCAAGTCTTCACAAATGAAAGGAATGTCTAACTTTTTGGATCACAGTGAAACAAAGTCTGGATCATTTCCAAACAGTAACAGGTAGTCTATTTTTATAATGAAAAGATATTTTGGTTTAATTATTTCCTCAAAAAATTCTTTTAGAGTTTGATTTTCTAGGTAATAGGTAGCAATGGGTTTTTCATGACAGTGTTTCAAAGAAAGTTTCCTTCTGTAAGAGTTTTTGATTCATTTCTTTTAATGACAAAACTAATGGCTACTATTGAGTACAAGATGCAGAGAAATATTGGTGAAGACCAACCAGCAAGTTTTCATTGCAAAACAGATTTTTCCCCCAAATTTCAGGTCCAAATTTGCTGCATCATCACCAGTCTTTTCTTTTTTCATTCTCAGTGGAAATTTTCAGATATTATTTGAAAACTGAATGAGAATGTACTATGTTTGCTAACATTTCAATTTTATATCATCCCCTAATCTATTAAGAATATTATAAAAACATTACCACAATTAAGTGGCAACTTTTGGTTTATAGACTGTACTTATGATCAGGAAGTCATAAAAAGGCCAAAATGTACAGTGTGATTGCAATGTGACAACTGAAACTGTTAAGTGAAAAATTAGGATGGCACAAGTTGGGGTTCATAAAGCAATGGAAAATTAGCCAATGGAATTTTTAAAAGTGTAAAAAACTGTACTCACATATCTACTCATGGGAAGAACAACTAAGGCAAATTAGAAATTCCCCTCCAGGAACATAACCAGCTCAGAATCACCTGAAGAAATTCACACAAAAGCACAAACCATCCCTCTGACTCCTCAAGTACCAGCTCATGACATGAAAGACAGACTGTCAAAAAAGGGCATGTGTCACTTTGCAAAGAAATGTATTAGTTCCCTCCCAGGGTCACCTTGGTTGGCTACGGAAGTACTGTAGCACATTAATTTCCATCAGATCTACAAGATGATCAGTCTTGTCCTTTTGAATCTTACAGACATGCTCACTATCTGATGCATCTTTTTACACAACACTGGGTGTGAAGTTTGAAAAGGACAAGTGGAAACACATGCACAAACCTACAATTAGTCCATATGTAGTAAACCTGTGGGTTTGAGCATTTATACAGAAATGGATTTGTCTCAATTCTCCACTGACTTCTCATTAGGAATATTAAAAAAAAAAAAGAATTGCTAAAAAATTCTGAAGCTCTGGTGAAAACCTTCTAGGCTTTGCCATCAGAGAGACACTTGCCATCAAAAATTCAGATAAAGAAAAATAAAACAGTATGTTGGAATCAGCTTGCAAAAGTTTGTGCTTTAAAAACACAGTGCCTAATAGTGCCAAGCACATCCTAGATACCAAATAAATACTTATAGATCAGAATAACACAGTTTCTGAAGAGCCAACTATCATTTTGCAAAAAAAGGCAAAACTATATTAATGTCTTTCACCTGGTGTTATGGAGCAATGTGGGGCAATGAGAGAATCTACAAATTACATACGAACTTTGATTGGAGAAAGAAAATTACCAAGAACTTTGCAAAAACATTGCCACAGTAGCATTAGTACTTAACAGTGCATCAAAGATTTAATGTTTCCACTGCAATATGAACTGGTTTGCACATCTCTTAGGAACCAGAGTGTAATCCCTCAAATAGGAAATGAACTCTAATTCCACTTTGGGAAAAGTATGGGCATAATTTTATCTGAAAATTATTAATATATTTTAGGGAGATGGTCCACTTATTCAGTATGCATCAAAGTAATACAGGCATAAATATTAGGGGAAGTCATTATATAACTTCAGGATGGCACTGTCTTGTGCAAGTGTATTTTTCACATCTGCAGTAGTTGCTTTCTGATATTTTAGATTTTTACAGAGTCATGATACCCCTGACATGACAGAGATAAGAATACAGAAGATTAAAGGTCAAAAAACTTACAGGGAAGCTCCTTGATATTATGTGAAAACCCCTTATAAAAGGCAGTTTATTGACAAATAAAATGCTTTATACATTCAGGTTTTCCCCATCTCTCAATAGTGATAGTTTCCAAAGAAAAAAATCAGTAGTGCAGAACACATACTTCTTTTGCATTAGTTTGATAAACTGAAAATCAGAACCTTTTAAAGCATCTTGTGAATGAGAGAAATGGAACTGGACCTGGGTAGAGGGTGTGGATAGTAGAGACCAAAATGAATAAGTGATTTAGCTGTTGATGTGGACAGCAAGAGAGTTGGTGGGAAATGTTACAGCAGACCTGACCACGCTACAAAGGGTCCGTCAAGAACACAGTACAGGTATCAAATAAAACCAAAACTAAACTAAAAACAAAAACAAACTGCAACTTTTGCCAACTTGTAAACAAGGAAAAGCATTTCACAGATTCAAAGTTCAAGGGAAGTAAACGTCTTTAAATTATTTTTGTCAGTTCAACCCTGATTTAAAAGTATGGCTAGCAAAACCAAGGAAGCCACAGCTGTCGACATCCTGAGCAAGCAGCCGCCTCCTTCTGAGAAGCTGCACTCCCAAGGCCCCCTCCAAGATGCTACATGAGGAGACACCTTCTCTCTTGAATCCATCTCAATTCTCCCATGTCCACACTCCTGGGATAGGTGTCGACTGCTTCCCATGTAGGTGTTTACCGTTCTCGCTGCTATAGATTTAGACGTGGGGAGACAGGAGGAGGGAAGGCAAACTCTCGGAGGATGCTCCGGGCCACTTCGACATTATTCTGGGCTATCTCTAAGGCTCTCTTCACCTCTTCAAAGGCATAACCCTCTCCCATGAGTTTTGCAATTTTTGCATCTACATTTTCCAATGCTGCCTCAGGCCCATGGGGTTTTCTGTGGTGAATTTCTGGTGCAGTCCTGCGGGGTCGTGGTTTAGGGGGTCGGGCTGGTGCTTGTGAACCATCTGTGTAGATTTTTAAAGAGAGATATATCATTTAAACAGTGAGATAAAAATAAATACATTATAACATAATAGTATTACCTCATTATTTTCTATTAAATTACTATTTCTCATCCTCTTTCCAAATAGACTTTTGTTTCTCCATTTTTTCATACTATTGGGGGATAGGTAGTATTAGCCTCATTTTGAACATTAGAAAATTAAGATAGATTGTGTTGACTGTGTTGATAGTTCCACTGAGAAATTAACACATTTAATCCCCAATTCCACAATTTTACTCTTTAAGCCATATGAAGTAAAAAATATACAGCCAGAAAAAAAAAGCCAAAACAAATGTCTAAAAAGGGAAGGCTTTCACTTGGGTTAGCAATACAGTTCATCATTTACTACAGCACAGACTCTGGCTGATCATCCTCCTGAGGGACAATCTTGGGAGGTTTCTACCAGAGCAAAGTATCTTTATAAGCTCGTAGATACTCTGTTAGAGCATCCCCAACAGATCTATGCTACCCATATAGAGCAGAACTGTTCTAAAAAAAAAAAAAGATCTGATTTTGCAAGTTAATAACTGGTGCCTTACTAATGCTAGGAGAATAAAAAAGAAAAAGGAAAATATTAATAGTAGATGCTCTGATTCTACTGTTAGTTAACAGGTTGAACAGAAGTAAACTTGGTGCTTGGTGCAACACTTTATCTAGATTCCAATGTAGGAAGTTTTGTTTGAGAAAAAGCAAACCTAGAAGAAACATGAGTGAAGAATTGGTTTCTAGATCAGTCCTCTGATGATGATAGTTTATCAGAGTTAAAACAATAACACTGGTGCCTGTGAATAGAAAATTATTTATAAGCCACCATCTCACGCAAGTCTCCAGCGCATGGGCTAGCTAACTGGACAGGGTACTTTCATCATGCATTTTCACATGTCTCTATCTACATATCACTTTATTTCAAAAGCCTAAACCAAAAAAAAAAGAAAAAAAAAAGATGAAAATAAAAAATGTCAACTTTATGTTATGAAACCCATTTATGGATGTAGGACAATCAAAACAATATTTATTTAATATCTTTTTTCTAGACCATTGATAAATGCCAAATGATATATCCAAGATCAAAGTTAAGTGAATGGTGAAGTGAAGATAAAAGCCAAATGTCTCACGCCCAGTCCTCCCTCTGCCCTCCCCTCACTACCCCAATAACTTCAGGAGATATTACAAGCTGATCTTTTCAATAATGATAAAATTTAAATAATTAAACATCTGATTCATTATTTCATTTTTCCTTTTTAAAGCTTGATATTTTTCCATGAGAAGACAGTATGTTAAAAACATTATCCTACTCACAATTCTAGAAATATCAATAAAACACATAAAATAAAAGCTTGTAGGATAAAAATATTTATTTCTACATTAAATAGGATGATAGTCTTATTTTTAATTTTTCCTTTCTTATTGGATAATGTCCAATTTTTAAAAATATTATAGTTGTTGGCCGGGCGCTGTGGCTCACGCCTGTAATCCTAGCTCTTGGGAGGCCGAGGCGGGCGGATTGCTCAAGGTCAGGAGTTCAAAACCAGCCTGAGCAAGAGCGAGACCCCGTCTCTACTATAAATAGAAAGAAATTAATTGGCCAACTGATATATATATATAAAATTAGCCGGGCATGGTGGCGCATGCCTGTAGTCCCAGCTACTCGGGAGGCTGAGGCAGAAGGATCACTCGAGCCCAGGAGTTTGAGGTTGCTGTGAGCTAGGCTGACGCCACGGCACTCACTCTAGCCTGGACAACAAAGTGAGACTCTGTCTCAAAAAAAAAAAAAAAAAAAAAAAAAAAAAAAATATTATAGTTGTAGACACTGCATATTATAGGATGCTCTTATATAAGAACATACAATTTCTAGTTCCTACAAATGTCTGTACTATTTCTTACATCTGTAATTAAATACCTCGAATTATTATTGTCTGCTAAATTACATTTCTTAGTGTATCTTTAAGTTCCATTTATTTTTCTATTAAGTATTTTCATTATGTCATATAGGGGTAGACAGATTATACTTTGCTTTTAATCATTTTCAATAACTATTAGGAATTCTAGCAAACTTTCTTTTACTCTCATCAATTACCAAATGTACCTAGACTATAATACAAGTATAAATACTTTGTATTCTATTGGTAATTTTCTAAGAGATTTCTAATATTGTTATTTTGTTTCTGTCTAGAATTCTGAGAAGGTCACATGAATATCATGCATGTTTGAAAGAACAGTTATGTACACAAGAAAAGTGGATTAGATACTATGGCAGCATCTAATAAATAGTATAATTGGTAATAAGTCTTAAGATTTAGAACATTTAGAATAAACATATATATATATATTTTGATCTTCATAGATAACACTAAAAAAGATGGTACCTAACATCAGCATAAAAAAACAAGAACCTATCTACTCTGCAAGGCTTCTATAATTAATGTGGACAAAATGCAATCAAATCTTTAGATAACTAATTTTATTTAAGAGAAAGCTATTCTTTGCTTGGAAAAAATAAGTAGTGAACATAATTCAGAAAACCAAAGTCAGAAGGAAAAAAATACACACATACACACACACACATACACACTGAGATTAAATAAAAACTCTATCTAGTTAGGCAGGGAAATTATCGTTGATCCAGGAACAGGTATTTTTTGCACATACAAAACATTTGAAATATTAGCTGGAGAAAACGATTTCAAAAAGCCTCTAGGAAAAATCATTAGAGTTTGAAGAGATTTTTATCAAAGAAAGAAAAAACATCCTCTTGCAGCAAAGATTTATTTTCTGAATTCATAGATTTTCCTTTTTAAATTCAAACTCACATATTCCAATTCATTTAATCCTAGTTCTCGTTACCATAAATCAAAATCTATTTCCCCAAAACAGTGCCGACATCTTTTCAGAATCTCACAAATGCTCAGAAGTTAAATTGCATTATGTATCAGAGCCTACAATTAGACATAAATTGTAATCTATGTTATAAGTTCTCATCACCTGTTATAAATTTCTACTTAATGGTTAAATATTTATTCAATTGAATATATCTTAATTTTATAGTTGACATTTTAATTTGATAGTGTAGCTATGTACCAGGTAACTGATAGCTACAAAAGAGACTTTTCTAGATGTAGATTAGGAATATCACAGAGACTTGAGGTTGGTCAGATGCATCTCAATTTGGCCATTAAGATTTTGCATGATCTTGGGCTAAGCAATTTACTTTACCAATTCTCATTCTCCAAATTTATTTTTGTATATCTATTTTTATAGGTATTATTTATCCCTCCTTGGGTAGTATGAGAATTAGTGTAATTCACAGTATATATACTGAGGAGACCATCAGAAAGAAAAGGACAATGAATTCACAGTCATAATGATAACTGCTATACTCAAATGCTATACAACAGTAATTACTATGAATTAACATAAATGTCAGAGAAAGAGGTAAAAACACAAAATTTTTTGTGAGAGCCTGATCCTACACAAGGCATTTAAGCAAAATATTAAAAAGCAAGATCTGTTACAGCCTGAACTAATAGTGGAAACTGTTAAAAGGGGGGAGGATCAGGTCTTTTCCATGCTAACCATTAAAGCAAATTGCTTAAAACCAATCCCTCTTTCTATCCATCTCTTCCCAAAGCTCAGAGGCAGCCTTCACTTTCCCTACTTGTTCTTTTTCACAATATCTAAAAGTAGGATACACCAGGTTCTCATTTTCATTCACTTTTTAGCACTTTAGAATGTGTAGGGTAGTGGAAGGAAGCAATGAAACAGAAAATGAAACTATCTCATGGTTCTCCAAAAGTTATTATATTGCAGTTTTGGCATGCATTGGAATGACTATAAATTTTATCAGCCCTATGAGGATTTCTGTACCTACTAAATGTCTTCCTTAAAAACATTTATTTTGGAAGAAGATGTGTTTATTCTAGTGCTGCTGTCCATGCTCATGGTATTTTTGAACTTTTATGAGCAATTACAACAGTATCAAAATAATGCAAGAACATGTGGAAACTATAAGATATGGTACATACATATTCTGGAGTACTGACTTTACTCAAGGATGTGAAGACATCAATATTTTCAAATATTAAAATGAATACAGATAGGCAAAGGAGATACAAAGTTTGCATGAATTTTTAAGATAAGACAGATTTTGAATCAATTTTCTGCATGTGGTTGTCCACTTTTAGCTAACTTGCCAGTCCTTGGGCTATATTTAGAGTTAACCCTTCTTTAGGAAGAAACATTTGAGAAGCCTTGCTTTAGGAGTAAATCTTGATTTACTTTTCATTTTGTAAGCATATAAAAGAGCAGTGAGTCCTGGATAGCATGAAAATTAGCCTGATGAAAACATGGTTGGAATATTATCTAGAGTGATTACTCTAGGTTATGCATCCTAGAAGGGGGCAAAAACTGATTATTATGGAATTAAAAATAATAATCTTAGATGCTAAAATGGTTTGTGGCCCTCCAATGAGCTATAATACATAGACATATAAAACATATCTGTAGTATTAAGCTTTCACTGTTGCAGGGAACAGGGAGCAATCAGGAAAGAACAAATATCTAAAAGGCCCTTTAGACAGAATATATATATATATATACATATATATATATATATATATTTAAAAGTGAGACACACTGCAGTATGTCTACATAATCTATTAATACATATATAGGAGTTGATAGTATTTCCAAAAGAAGGCCCTCATCATCTAAAGTTATTTCCCTCATCATCTAAAGTTTGGTGGTTTTTGTTCTTATTTTGAAAGATGTATCTAATAAGCAAATGCTATTGTATTGATGAATACATTTTCCCATTTTCTATTTGTTATATTAAGTCCTGTTCAACAATAACTGTCATACCAAACTTTTATATTTCTAGACAATAGCAAAAGCATTTAACGTGTTAGTTTTCTTGCATATAGTCAGTTTCTGTTAGATTTTAAATACTAAAATAGTGTTTGATAATACATAAATATGATGGACTATCATACAGTAATTTAAAAGATTTATTTAAAAAAATTGATGTACTAAGATACTTATTATACTGTACTAAATGGAATTGAGACAGAATTGACACATTTAATATGATCTTAACTGTATGAAAATGTACATAGACAAAACATGAGAAGTATTCAAAATGGCAATAATGTTCCCTATTGATGATAGGGTTCTGTGTGATTTCTTTCTCTGGTTGATTCTGCAATTCCACTTTATTTTCCAACGTGCACGCACTACTTTCATAATTAGAAAAATCACCACCACTACCAATAAAATGGCCTCAGATCCTCTCTGCTAGTTTTGCAGACCCTGAGCTGCTCAATATTCTAAGACTGAGAAACAAAGTCTGATTTTGCTAATGTGAAAAGTAAATGAAGCATCTAGTTAGTGGCTTGCCTAAGAATACCAGTTTTGAAATCTCTAGTATAGTTTTACCATTTCTATTACCTTCTATTCCTTTGTCAATACTATTCCTTTACTACTGCCTTGATTTTATCATTGGGCATCTCCAAACACGGTTTACCAATCACTGTTAGATGCATGTATGATTTTTTTTTTCTAATTTAATTTTGGCTTGGCTCCTGATAACATAAACTTTATTAATAAATACAAAAATAAAATGTGCAAATAGCTTGCTGAGAAAGACAGAATTGATTCAAATCCTATCAGACTGACATTTACTAGGTGTGTCACCTTGGGTAAATAACTAAACTGCTATGTCTTATTTTCTTCTATAAATTGACATTAATAGTACCTATTTTCAGGGTGGTTGTGAGGAATAAAATTGTATCTATACCTGTATTATATAGTAAAAATACATTTATATTTTTATATATTATATAACTATAGAGTTATAAAAGTTCAATATATAGATATAATTAGAAAAATATAACATTTATAATACATCCAGAAAATGGTTTTAAGAGAACTACGTTGGTGTTAGATTTGTAAGGAAAAAGACTCCAGGTTCTGTGGTTTTAAAACTGAAGTTTATGTAAGAAGCAGCATTTCAAGTAGTTGAAGTATGGTAAAACTCAACAACACTGTGATTTCCTAAGGTGAAACACAAAACAAAATCTTAAAATCATTTACCATAAAATCCTAACCCCATGTGAAGTGAAACCTTGATTTCCAATTGAGATCTTAATGGACATAACTATAGAACATTTGGTCTTAATATAAAATCCATTCAATATTCTACCAATTTTCCTTTAATCTAGTAAAGGAAAAGTAGTATTGGAGTTAATTCCTTTTATAATAAGATCTTCTTTATTTTGCCAGCATATTTGGCAATAAGGCCTCTCACTGGCTGAAACCACATTTAATACAAGGTGTTCTAAAATTTTAGCATTGTTTTCAAGTGTTACCTTAAACTGCCTTCTAAATGCTAAGAATATGGAAAGTCTTAAGAGCTAATGCTGCACTTCATCAGCACAAGCATTATAAGATTTCTACGAATGGCATTTAAACTGTAGCACAGTATTTCGTACAAGAGAAAAGCAAAGTGGAAGACACATAAAAACTCACACACAGTTAGTATATACATGAGCCCCATGTGAATAATATACCCATTTAAAGAAATAAGCAGATTACCAAAAATGTTTGCCCCATATACAGGTGTATGTGAATTTAACACAAACTGGTAAAATCCTCTTATTTCCAACTATCCTCAGGACATATTTATATGATTAAATATCAACTGTTACATTTACAAAACTTTAAGAAAATTATAAAATATTTTCCTTTTGGAATAAAATATGTGGAAGGCTCTTTGTACATATAGACATACATGCACGTGTAGACATCCTTTTCAGATAAGAGGACAAGGAAGATATTTCCGAATCAATGAAACTACAGTTTTGAAGTCTTAGAAATATTCTTTTCACAGAAAGCTTATCCATAAATAAGTTACTATCAATTATTTAGATAGCCATAACAGATAAAAGAAATTAAATTTATAACATGCAGCAATCATACCAGAATCCTCATTCAGTCATCTTAAAAAGGCCTTAATAAAAAGAGAAAATAAGGGCTATTGGAATCTTGAGGGCACATAAGCATTCAGTCTCAAGTTTTGATGGAAAGACCTAACCCAGAAGGCAAGTCCAGTCTCTCTGCTGGCGTGAAATAAACTAGTGGACAGACAGCTAGCCCTGTGAGCTGCATCTGAACAAACATCTGTTGGTAAAAAAGTATCTTATTTTCTGTGGTTTGTGTTTTTAAAGACAGTTTAGGGAGTAGATTGAAATATTTGATGTTACAGCTAGCTGAAGCCCTCTGAGTAATAATCAGGACTATTTTATCACTTAAAGTAAAAGCCAGTTCAGGTTTCTGGTAAATGGCTATTTGGGGATATTTCAGCAAGGTTTGCGACTCTAAGTTTTTCCTGACATTTCTAGTGTAATGCTAATTGGAATTCATACTGCTTGAAATCATTTATGTGAATGATGTTCCTCTGGGTTCTACAACACTCACAACATATTATGGAGCAAACTGTAAGGAAGCTATGAAAACAGTATGTTTTGGCCAAAATTCTTCCCATTACTTGAGTATGTTTCTTTCAATCCAGAGTTGGTGGTATTGAATATGTTATTTTAAATCCGTCATGGCACTTTTTCTAAAGTTCTATTTTAATGCTATTTCCTTAAAAAATTTGCTTCCTTGTGTTATATAGAGGTTGTCAGATATTGTCTCTCTTTCTTGATTTTCACGTTTTTGTCATCAAATTCTTTGACTGTAACTACAGCATGTATCTAAAACCTTGAAGCAAACTAGACTAGAAGCAAATGACTAGAAGCAAACTAGTAAGAGAACATGGACCAAAATTTGAAAAGGTTAAGACTTTCTGTGCCTTCCTGAGTTATATGCAAGTGTTAAAACTTACAAAACTATAGAATTATATAATTTTGGCATCTCTCCTGCATGTTACAGAGTACATAAGAACTACCATGTTGAAAAATCTCAAAACAGCTCATTCATTATCTTGATTCAGAAGTTACAGAACACATGACTATTATTATTAATACGTCTTATGTGTACTGAGGTTTGAGCTTAAAAACAAAAACCTTGAAATAAGACAAAAATGCATATAATAAAAGCTTTTGTTTACAAATATGAGACAAAAATACTGCTCATAAAATAGGTGCATTCAGTTTAACACAGATATCAGCAATACTTCCCTCCTTTCTTTCACCCATCTACCCACTCATATACGCATCCATCCATCCATCCATCCATCCATTCATCCATCACCTATCTATGCATCTAAAAAAAATGTGCTGGGCACTGTCCTGGACACTTGGGATATAGCAATGCTATGGACTGAATGTTCCTGCCCCACCCTCATCCCCAATTTGCATGTTAAAACCTAATTCCCATTTGGATAGTATTTATTTGCAGGTGAGGCCTCTGAGAGGTATTTAGGTGTGCCGCCCTCATGAAACGGTTTATGAACCAGGAAGGAAGCCCTCAAGAGGCACCTTGATCTTAGACTCCTTAGCCTCAAGAACTGTGAGAAATAAATGTTTGTTGTTTAGGCCACCGTGTCTATGTTATTCTGTTATAACAGCCTCAATTGGTGAAGACCAGCAGTGAAGCAAATGCTTATCTTCAAAGTGTTAATACTCTACCAGATGAAACAGACAAATAAGCAACAATCAAGAAAACGAATGAATGATAGAATTTTAGGTAGTGACAGGTGCTGTGAAGAAAAAGCAAAAGAGGATGGAAAGTGGCTGCAGAAGACAGGGGGAGCTATTCAGATATAGTGGTCAAGGAAGGCTCCTGCAGAAACAAAGAAAGATGCAGCATTTCCTTATTAATGGTCATGAGTGTGACTTGAGCTTCTAAAATGGTACATCGTTGTTCTACTTGGTGGCTGGCACTGGAGCACTGCACAGCAGCCCTCAGTGCGCTATGAAAATGAATAGTTTGGTGCCAGTATTAACTCTAAAGAGATTTCTGCCTCAATGGAGAAGTGAAGTAAGAGACAATAGCATTTCCATGTACAAGAAGATTTTTCCCATTTCCCAAATTTGATAAGGCAAAATGAAAGAGAATGAATAAATTTTGAATAAAAATGTGGTTTTACAAACTGATCTAAGATAATATTAAGACTGATTTTTTTTTCTTTTCCATGAGACAGTATTGTAGGCCTTTCTCTCATAATATAAGCTTTATAAGCAAAATGCAAAGATGATAAAAATAACTTCTTAGGCAGATAGTGCTCATTGAACTATACAATGAATAAGAAGGTGCTCTGAAAAGTGAAAAGCACCATATAGCCATAAGGTGTTATTATTACTATCATTAGCCAACTCACCTGAAGATGAAGGAAGCTGATCATAGTCCTGTGATGTTCTGTTGGATTTGACATTTTCACCCGGTAATCTCCTAGCAGGAGGCAAAGGAACTTGGCCACTTGCTGGATCAAAAAAGGGATCTTAAAAATAAAAATAATTTTTTAATTAAAAGGATGATCTCTGTCGATTGGCTAAAGAAAAAAAATTCTAGAAACTTTTTATGAAGATTATAGCTTTCAAAAATTAGAAAACTCAATTTGGGATTTATATTAACCACTTTCTAATCTATAAAAACTACACATTTTATAATTTATTCATCATTTCCAAAATATGCTCTTCTCATTTATTTTTAGATAACAACTACTGATTTTATTTTATTTTACAGATCGCTTATTTAGTTGTAAGATTGTTGATGATAAAAACAGCTTCTAAATTTTATTTTCTGTCTCAATCTGTCCTATACAATGAATGGAAACTGTTCTAAAGTAAAATAAAAAAAGATGGGTTTGGATTTTGCCCATCAGAGTATTATTAAATCACTTAATCTCTCTAAGCATTAGGCAGATAAAATCTGTAAAACAGACATGAAATTTAGGATTTGTGAAGATTAAATGAATTTATGTATGTCATATCTTCTGTACATATAAGGTACTTACAGTAATAGTACTGTATTGAACATTCTGTGACAAAAATCATTATTGTTGTTTCATTAAATAGTAAATTCAATTGTTAAAAAAGTATTCTATTACTGACATTAACGTTCAAATATTCAGAGAAATGTGATTTTTTGGCTATCACTTTGGCAGTGAGGGGACATCTGAAGTAGTGAAACATATGAATTACAGAAACATTAAAAATTATTTTATTACTTCCAATGATTATTTACTAACTGGAACTAAAGGGAGAAAAAGAGATTTTATTAGTATTGTTATATCAAACCACTAAGACCACAAACCCAACTGATTTAAAATTAGTAGTATACAGGTTTAAATTCTTAAAAATTGATTCCTTTTTTAAGTAGATGAATCTTACTTCTATAATCTTTGGTTCACTAATAATTTATGTAGCTATCACTTTCACCTTCGGCTCCTCTGTTTTTTCCTCTTATACTACCTTCTTTTATGTTGTCAGTATCTCTGAAGGTAACATCAATTCTTCCGAGGGCTGGGATCTTGTCTTATTTATTGTTTGAATTACATCTCCTAACTCAAATATAGTACATAGCACACTGTTTGGAAAATAGTCTGCAGCTAACAAATATTTACTTTTAACTACCAAAAGTAAATCTGCACAGATTTACATTGTTCATAATTTCAAAATCAGTGAAATCTGAATTGCTAACATGAAACTTAAATTGATAACACAAAACACAAATTATAAAGATGAAAGGTGGTCTGATTTTCACTGTTTAAAGTTCCATGAGTTTGGCATAAGAATTTGATTATTTAAGAAGAAAATACAATGGCTAAAAATTGCCTATTGTATACTAATTTTTGACTAGATAATATAAGGCAGGATTGATTCAAAACCATTAATTATTTATTTTCTCCATTTTTGGAGTACAATAATTATCACCAGCTTTGCTGGGTACTTTTTGACTTAGGCAAGTCTACTTTACTTGTTTTCATTAATTTCAAGATTAAAATAACTTTTAGATTTTGGGCTCTCAATATCTGAAGAGTCAATGGTCCAGCCTCATTAGTAGTGCTGAAACATTTTTACAAAGAATGAGAAGATAAATCATATTCCATGCAACAAATGTTGATCTTTTGGTTTGGTAGAGAAACCAAAGGAACCAAACATGGTAACTTCTAGATAAATTTTGAAATTCCCCCAAAGATTCTGATTTAAATATTCAATAAAATTTACTTTAGGTTCCTGTGCACTCTAAATGCTCCTGGTATAACATTCAGTGAGAGGAAAGACTGTCTTTTATAATACATACATGTGTTTATTTCTTTGTAATTTATAGGTTTGTCAGAAACACTTACACTATTTCTAATCATCTATTTAGATAAAGCTAAAAAGTAAATTCTGGATACATTTCAGAGCCATAAAATGATAGACTACACAATATACCACTGTATTATATTGCTCCATTCAACTATTGTATTTCACTGGATATACAAACATATTACCATAAATAGCAAAACTATACCTATTTATAGTTCTATTCTGAATCACTGTCATGTTCTCCCTTGCTTCCTGCTAAGTTGGGTGTTGGTAAGGTACAGGGTAAACTGGACTCTCTGTAGCAAGTTATAAAGTTGGAGGCATTCGTGCTTCAAATGGAACGGCATTATGCACAGCACAATTACTATGCAGAACACAATAATTACCAACTGTCTCCTGATAAGGAAATTCTGAAAAGCAATAAAGCTTTTTTAAAATAAATTTTTCAAAAACTAATTAAAGTAAAATTTTATATCCACATTTAGAATTAAAACATATGGGTTGAAATTAGCCAATGTATCATTTATACAGTAATAAATGTTTGAGAAATAAATGAATATACACACTGGGATTATTCTGTTCTAAAAAGTAAAGTACTACCTCCTGTGATTTACAATATGGTAATGTAAAATTGAAAATTTAATACTTATTTTAGAGGTTATAAAATACTAAGACTAGACTGGGGGAAAAGGGTTTGCTAACTAAAAAAGAAGGGAGAAAATACACACCAATCAAAAAAACGGATGAGAATATTTTACAGCATGAATAATGCTCATAGCATAGTTAGTGGAAAAACATTATAGATAGCACATTCTATGTGAAATAAATTTTACATAAATATGAACTTACACACTTATAGACAAAAAAAGAAAGGACACTTATCAATGGTTATCTTTTGGAGAAGGTGGTATGGAATATTTTTTCTTCTTCTTTTCCCACTATTTTAAATAGTTTCAAATTTTTGCTCCAGTGTAGAAAAAGAGGCAAATAAAATTAAACAGTTAAAAAAAATGGCCCATTCCCTCTCTGGCCATCCATAAACCACCTGGAAAATTTATCATTTATCCCCTAAATTTTAAAAGAGTAAGCCAGTGCAGAAGCTAATTTCTGGAAGGGGTTTGAAGAGCCATGCAGGTAAAACAAAGTTCTTCCCTCTTTGCTGCCCACACTCTTTAACTTATGATCCTGAAATCTTCAATATATACTGATCTAGCCACTGATTAAATCCTCCAAGTGTTAAAGAAGTCCCTATTCCTTGAGGTAGAACAATCCTTAATAATTTGGGAAACTTCATAGAATGAATGAAATTTTTATTCTTAACTTTTCTCATTGGTCTTACTTCTACCTTCTGAGGAAACTTAGAAGACATATACCCCTTCTTTCACAAATACCCTAACTGAAGACAATTCTAATATATATTGAAGGTTTCTTTGGGCTACACATCCTCAGTTCTTTTAATCCACTGTAATTTATTTGGAGTGCTATGAATTTCCTTTTTCATCTGGGCTACATTTCTTTGAGAATACCTGAGTCCAGTTTCTCAAACTTGATCATGCATCAAAATCACCAAGAAGGCTCATGATCACTGGATCCTACTCCCAGAATGTTTGATTTAGTAAGTCCTGAATTTCATTTTAAAGCAAATTCCTAGGAGTTGCTAGTGCTGCTAATCTGGAGACCACAATTTGAGAACTGCTGCTCTAGCCTATTAATCTTCAACACCTGAACACAGTGGTCTCCATGAGAGCTGAGCACTGTGGAGAACTTCACTCCTTCTCTGTTTTGAACTCTGTGAGTGCAAGCCCCACATGGCATGAGCTCCCTTGGTAGCCACACCCTGACAGTGCTTCATAAAGGTTGTAGTCAACAAAAAACCCTAAAACGTCTTCAGTAATGCCAACGATACAGATTTTCTTCATATTTTACTTACACAATTGCATTTCTGAATCCAAGAGTAAAACTTCCATTCATCTTTAATAAGCTACATTTTGCTAGCTTTCAGAGTTGAACTGTGACTTTAAGATTGGATAAGCAATTCAAAAGAGATTCCAGGTTAGAAAAACAGCAAAAGAAAGGTGGTGTAAGGGATGCCAAAAATGCTGTGTATTTTGTGCACTGCACAAAGACACCCAGTTATGGCTATGAGCGGGACTTAAAGATAGCCTTCACTTTGTTCCTTGAGCACCGGCCCTGGCATGAAGTGAAGGGAGGGGTGCCTATTTCAACCCACCAGCACAAAGGAAGTGCTTTTTTGTAATTTGGAAAAGAATCACATATACATTAGCACTAGCCGTGGTTTGGAGACAGGAAAATGTAAAGCTTTTGTTGAAGACTCCAGGTTTTGTTAAGATATGATTGGCCTGTCCAAAATAGATGGCTCGTGTACAGCTGTAGACATTACTATTTTGCCAAAGGAAATCTTACATGAAAGCCTAAAATAGAAAGCAGATGAAAAGAAGAACCAGAGCTGTGCCCTTGCTTGGCTTCCCTCCCTAGATCCTACAGGAATCCTGAGGCTGCTCTGCAGAAGCACAGAACACTACCCTTTCATAGTCACTACTACAGAGAAGTCAATGGGCTATGAAGCTGAAAAGCTGAATCTGACTCAACTGTGCAGGGCACTGAATGCTGGAATAAAGAAATGGATTTGATTAGCTATTTAATATTATATCATGAGAGAATACAACCTCTTTTTCTAAGACACCTGTTATTTCTCTTTAGTTAGGCATAATTTATTATTTCCTCAAGGAAACCAAATCTCAATAATGCTTAGAAAAGATTTATCATTACACTGGACCAAAATTTAACACACTGAAGAGTGAAAACAATAGCACTTAAATGCTCACAAAGTTTGTTTAAATTTAGCAGTCACCTTTTATGGTACTAAATATCCTGAGTTAAACTTTAGCATTTATAGCATGCCCTTTCATGAAGTTCTATTCTTGGATGAAAAATTGCTGTTTTGCATCTTCTTTATTTTTCTAGAAAATAAAATGTATTATGCACTTTGCAAAATGATATTTAAATGATTATTTATAAGCTAAAAGGAACCTTCATGCTCTACAATATTATTATTATATAATAATATACACTCTAGGTTAAGGATAAGTATTGTTGAACTGCCTGGCAGCAAAGCAAAAGCATTATAAACAAATCTATAAATGAAATAAAACAGTTTATACTACTCTCATTTTACCTAATAAAGGGGGAATTTTCATTTTGAAGTAGTAATTGCTTTTGCCAATTAATCCTGAGAGGATTTTTTTAAAGGAAGATTTATATAAAGGGCAATAAATAATATACTTATGATAAGTAAAGAACTAAAACATTTCACAATTCTTTTGAAAAAACTAGGCAAAAGGTGTATTTGTGCAAAATTTTCTCTTTCAGCTCTTGGAAAGTTTGACTTAATTTTATAAGAACTCACTACATTGAGGTTTCATCTATTGGAGCTTAAGTTATATATATACAAAAAAGGTGATGATAGGTACATTGCAGGAATCTGGCCAGAAACTATATTAATTTAGTGTTTAGAAGTTTAAATAACTAAGATTTAGAATGATTCATTTTTAAAAAATTCATGTTAAAGTATAAAACAAAAATTTCAACAAATTTAAGTAAATAAATTAGCAAAATGCATCAGTGTTTATATGTAGATAGATAAATAAATGCCTAAGCAGTTATCCCTATTTCTTCTTGGATCACAAGGGGTTATGACACTTGTCCTTTGACTGTTAGTATTCAGTGAATTCATAAGCTCCATGAAGGCAGGAGGCAGCTAAAAGAGGGGGTGAAATGGCAGATGGCTAAATCAATATTTACTAATTTAAAAAACCCTGACAATTATTCCTAAAAAATATATAAACCACTTTTAGAAAGTAAAGCTGTACATATATATATATATATATATATGTGTGTGTTATATATATATATAACTTGTATCTTAACTTGTATCTTCAAACTTTCTAAATTTTCAAAGTAAGTGAAAAAAAACCAGAACAATGAATGCTGAAGGTGATTCATAATCAACTGAGGGAAATGATAATGGTTAAGATTTCTAAGTTTTCACTGAGGCATATAGGTGGCTAAATGACAAACTGTTTTATCTCATATAGAAATGTAAGGAAGTTGTTAAAAAAAAAACCTCTTTATCCTATATTTACCAAACCAAGTCTCAGAGGCAAATGTTTCTATGTACAGTATCACTAACAGGACAGACTGGAACTGTTAATATCAGCAGATTCAACATAACTGAATATATTTTCTTTTTCATTTCTAACTAATGCAACAGATGGTTTATTAAGTCTCTTAATTTTTATTTTTACTCTCCTCTTCAGAAATTTAAAAGGAAATTAATGTAAAAAATTAGTTTATATTAGTTTTTCCTCAAAGACCAATAATTTGTCAGTAGATACATTGAGGCATTAAAAATAAAAATATCAACAAAACAATAAAATGCAGGTATTTCAGAAAAATTTGTTCATGTTATAAGAATATAACTTACCAAAATCTTATGTTTTGAATAAATTTATGACACTAAGTCATATCTAGTAAAGATAGATATGACACTAGATACGACACTAAGTCATATCTAGTAAAATTTTTAAAACTTATTATGAAGAAAAAAGAAATCGCATTGGGAATCAGGAGATTGATTCTGAAACACCTCCCCAGTACTATTAGCCCAATCGCTTAGCTGTTCTGGTTCTCATAGATGCCTTTTGTAACAGAAAGGTGTTATTTGGACTGGCTGATCTGTATAGCATAATTTCTAAATTCTGTGATTCCTTACTGCTCTTGCTATCTTTGTAATCGTTTTAGCATTAAACCAGTCAATTGACAAACCCACCAACTGCTACTCTCACCACCCCAAGGTTGTTGTGCTAGGGAGGTAGACAGCTAATTAATCACTAATGTTTACATGATCACTATGATCTTAGGAATATTTTTGCTTCAATTGCATAGTTTTCTTTGGTTTTTCCCTCCTACCTGAAGGAAGAAGAAAAAGGTCCTGTCCTGAGGATGGCCGGCTACTAGAGCCAGGAGGTTTTGAATGCTCGATGAGACTATGCCGTGCGGGAGGTGGGGGAGGTGGGAGGGACGGAGGGAGGGCATCAAAAGCATCTTCACCTGCATTTAAAGAAAGGCTGATATCAACAACAGAACTTCATTAATCAAAACACACAGTATCAAGCAAAAGTAATGATCAATTTTCTTTTGCTGCTTATAAAGAATTCCGCTTGCAGAGTTTATCCAGCAGTTCACCGGCTTTGATAATGGGATCTAACTATTTTGTGGGAATGTTTGGAGAGAAACACACACATACATACAAACACACCCATGTGAACTTTTTCTGTCTCCCAGGCCTTTTATAAAAAGAAGCATTACAGGTTATGAAACAGCTTATGGTTCACTTGTAACCTTTGTAATATTAGGACACTAGAGGTTTGACAAAAAAGTGTCAGTCACACCATCAAAACAGAATTTTACATGTAACTACAAGAGTTTGCAGCCTCTACTGAGAAAATCACACCATGTATGTATGATTTAATGTCATCAAATAGTTTAGATTATCCTATACAGTTCATTCCACTGAATTTTAATTCATTTAAACCAATGTTCCACATGTTTGATTTACTGTCAACATATATGAAAAATGCATCTACAGCAGAGGAATATGGTATTTTTTTCTACTTATCTAATGCTGCTAAAGAAGAATAGTTAAATACAGACCACTTTTTGTGGTCCCCAAAGCTACTTACATTTGTATATTTCCAAGCTTTATTAACTGTAGAATATTACAGTATGCTTTTATGTCTACTCATTTTTACACTGTAACACCTTACTATTCTACTCATATTTTCCTTTACCTTGATTCTGTAAAAAAATAAAATAATAACATAGTATGTATTTTTGTAAGCTATCTCAAACATTTTGTGAATGAGACAGGGTACATATAAATACCCACATATTTTAATAATGAAAATTCATATGTATTTAAGTGGAATGACAAACATACAAGCATATTAAAGAAAAATGATTTTACCATTCACTGAATTTGCCTGCGAAAAATGTGCAGAATATTTTCTCTAATCATTATTTTTTTCTAATTTGAAATATTTGAAGATAGAGGAGAGAGAGCATTGCTATCATTCCAACCTTCAATGACCTGCTATACTCTCATATTTATTCAAATCCTTTTACAGCTCTTAAATATCAGGTACCATGTGAGGCACACACATGATATAAAGATCAAAATCATAAGGCCCTGACTCAAGGAACTTAGATTCCATTAGAAGAGCTAAAAAAGGTTCACAAATAGGCATGAAAAACAGGTGAAAGGGATTGATTAGTCCCATAAGACAGTTATATACACTGGAAGAGGGAAGAGAAATGTAGACGACTGGCATTCAGAGAAGTGTTAAAGAATAGAAAAGTCCTAGGATATCAGGGGGCTCAAGAATTTATTTAACAAATGCAAGGATGGGGTCTTCCAAGCAGAGTGGATGGTATGAACAAAGAATGAGATGCACAAGAAGACCTAGAGGGAGGCTGAGTTAAAACTATAGGTTGGAACACCTATCTGCATTGCTCAATAAAGTGGTCACACATCCACATAAAGCTATTTAAATTTATCTTAACAAAAACCCAGTTCCATACTTACACTTAACCATATACAAACATATAGATCCTTTACATCACCACAAATGGTTCTACTGGACAATGCTGATCCAGGTAATGAAGATCTGGGTAATATATCAAGAACTGATATACAGGAAAAAGTGGAAGGGAGAGAAAGACTGGAGGTAAAGAAGTTAGGAGGGTTTTATAATTAATGTAGAGAAGAATAGAGCCCTGAACTACAAAGAGAACAGTAGCAAAAGACACTGCAATTGTGTAATTGTAAACACCAGTCAATTGTATTTGTGAGAAAATAGAAAGGTTCATTCCACATTTCTGGAGCCCTAACAGCCAATTCAGAAAAGTTTATAAATGGACCTCCATTATACGTTATTTTATGTCAGGGTTACTTGTTATTACAAAGCCTTAAGGTATATGAAGATTCTAATTGTCTTCCTCTAAAAATAGGGTGAGAAGCTTCCTGACTAGAATTAATGAAATTAATAGTGACATAGGCAATTTCAACATACATACACACTTATGTGTACCTTCCCATGTGTATACACACAAACACACATTAGGATGTTTTTGCATATCATCATTTGAAACAAGCAAATTGAGATCCTTTTGAATGTGTTATAGTTGTAACGGTTAGAATAAAATAGCACTTATACTCAGTTCTCCACATATCAATACTATAATTTTCCATAATTTAATTAGCATAAGTGGAACTGGGTCATTTCATGCTGAAAAAAAAGTACATTCCCATTTATTAAGAATTATTATAGTTCAAGAAAATCTCAATTAACACTTCAAATCATCACTTCAAAACTATGAGAATACAAGGGCCTAGGGGAATGAACAATGCTCTCATGTGTTTTAAGACTGCATTTAGCATGCAGGATATAACTTGATAAATTCCCATCTGATGGCCAGCTATTTACACTATTACTTTAATCATCTAAATGGAGAAATGGTCACATGTACTTGGGAGCCACCATCACCTGGAGAACTCATTCTAATTTCAGGCAAATTCATAATCCAGTGAGTCTGCATTACTTTGAACTCTGAATTCTGATTAATTCTGATATTGAGAGAAGAAGCAGGGGTAGTTTGCTTAAAATTTTTTTAAAGGTTTCAACCTAATGGAGGGATGAGAAGATCATAATCAGAGGGCGTCCTGTTGAGTGAAGAACCATGCTTTGGATTGTCCCGAGTTGGAGGCCTGGCAGGTGGTAATGGCACTGGATCAGAGGCTGAATCAAAAACATCTCCTAGAGGATAACACAAAACCTTAATGTATTTTCAGTACAACAATGGCATGGAATTTTGCCTTTAAATTCTGACCATTAAGATATAGATCACAAAGGAGAATATATTCTATACATACCCTTTAAACATATGCCTAATTCAGGAAGATTTGATTTTTTCATCTCTGAAGACGTACCATGTGTTCCATTCAGTATACAATGACCATTATCACAAGACCTAAAGCAGAAAACAAAGAATAAAATCATATAAGGATAATTACTTTCCATTTAAAAGTCATTTGGGAAGTAAAGGGAACTAGCATACTTCCTTATTTAACAAAGTTAGAAAATAAACATATTTCATTTCCTTTTTCTGGAAAAAGTACCAGCAGTATTATCTAAATACTTTATCCCTATTTTAAAAAGGAGAAGTAGGCATGGTGGCTCTACGCCTGTAATCCTAGCACCTCTGGGAGGCCGAGGCGGGGGGATTGCTTGAGGTCAGGAGTTTGAAACCAGCCTGAGCAAGAGCGATACCCCGTCTTTACTATAAATAGAAAGAAACTAATTGGCCAACTAATATATATAGAAAAAATCAGCTGGGCATGGTGGCACATGCCTGTAGTCCCAGCTATTCCAGAGGCTGAGGCAGGAGGATCACTTGAGCCCAGGAGTCTGAGGTTGCTGTGAGCTAGGCTGATACCACGGCACTCACTCTAGCCTGAGACTCTGTCTCAGGGAAAAAAAAAAAAAAAAAAGAGACACTGTCCAAAAAAAAAAAAAAAAAAAAAGCAGAAATAAATATTCCATGGAAGACAAATAGTCTCTTCCCTTTTAAAACTAAAACCAAGAATTACCAGGGCCACAAAAACTGTTGAAATCCTAAAAACTCATGTGAAATTAACATATCTCTTTGAAAGAGTTCAATAATACCTGGTCAAGTTTTTGAAGTAACAAAGAAGTATGTGCCAAGAAAAAAAAATACATAACAGTACCAATGACTTCATTATTTGTCAAGGACATTTAATATTTTTGTTTCTGTAACTTAAGCTTTCCTTGTAATAAAAAATAAACTAGAATCCATAAAAGAAGAAAAATTATTCAACTTTCAGTAATTCCATTGAAATTCTGACAGGAATATTCAAAGACCTAAACCCTGTGGTACTATTTTCACCACTGCCAAGAACAAAACTCTAGCCTTCTGACACTGTAGAAAGTGACATTAGCAAAGTCCTTGAGCACACTACAAGTACAGTATTTTAATCTCTGTGTGTGAAAGGGCACTATACACTAGAAAGTATGTTTGAATTATTGGTATTAATACTTTGGAAGCATAAGATGAACACAATAAATAAAATTGGGGCATGGCAAGATAGCAGCAGGAAGAGAAGAGAAGAAGCATATTTTGCCTTCAGCAAATAGCTGTGTAACAATTAACTAACAAATAACTACAGAAAGCAGAGTTTACATTTTACTTTTCTCTAATTTACTCTGAATTCTTAGAGCAAAGTAAAAGTACATACATAATGAAGGAGACTTGGATATTTGAATAGATACTGCAGAAGTACTTCATTTGAAATTCATTTCTATTCTCTCTGGAGGCCACTTCTCTTTAAGGGGCCAGAGATGGTTCATTTAAAAATAGTTATCATGCATTGAATCTTCGTAATAATGATGGATTTTTTACTGAAACTGAATTGAATTATTCATTTACTGTTTCACTTTTCCACATATTGACAATTTACTTCTCCTGATGTTTCAAAGTGGGGGAGAAATACATAGGGAAAGGAAGTGTTAAGCTTAAAGAGTACTTTGGAGAGGACATAAGAAGATACTTCATCCATCAGCTTTCAAGAACAAATTAAATAAAGAATTCACTCCAATTAAGTTTAGGGATTATCAACATTTATTACCTCGTTGTAACAGCAGAAAGATGGTAATGATGGTTATAATTCAAATTTATTTTCAGGATTTGGGAGCTCTGCCACCAAAAATCTCATCCAATAGGATATAACAATTAAAATTTAACATATTACAATTATACTCCTCACTTATCCAGCAAGGACAAAAATTAGATTCCCAAAGAGACCAAAAAACCTTTTATTTCAATTTTTAAAAATTATTACACATTTTGTAAGAGCCAAAGGAACTGAAAATTGGAATAATTTATATTTGATAAGAAGAAATAACTTCTTCTTTAACAGATCAATAGCCACTTGGTTCTTCTGATATATCAAAGTGCTTCCCAGTTATTTCTTTGCCTTATTAATGATACTATTTCATCAACAAATATCTTAAACACTAGCAATTAGCAAGAATTGCACTGGTTCTTGCTTTAAAAAATAAAGTCCTGGATGACAGACTGTTAATAATCCTGGGCAATAATTCTTTAGAGTGTTATTTTAACTATGTTAACTTATTAAGACTTCTGATTAAAATGAAGATTTGCTTCTCTTTTCCAAGTACTGCATTTTCTATCTCAGTGATACTTGAAGAAAGGCATTACATTTTTTTTTTAAATTTTCATCTAAAAAGAAAATGGCACATGAAGATGACTGAAGTGCTCCCCAGCTCTCCTCTCAGTCAATGGAGACATGTGGACTGCAAGGCCACCAGCAGTAGGTGAGCCCTAGTCTGTGTGCCAAGCACAGTTCTAAGAAGCACAGTTACACAAAGGAAACTGTAGCCCAGAAAGTAAGTTATGAAGCTGAGATTTGGTTACTGAGTACTTCGTATGTGTTAGAGGAAAAAAAAAAGAAATATCATTCCAGTTTAATAATTCAATTATATATACAGAATCATGCTTAAAGCCAAACTAATATTTCAATACAAACAATCCATTATAACTCACATATCTCAATGGGGTTTCCATTTAAAGACCCAGGACTTCCTCATTACAGTGAGAATAAACAAACAAAGAAAAAACTTCCCACTATTCCTCACATTCTTATTTGATCCAAGGAAAGGCAAAATAGTACTTAATTAAGTTAAGGGAAATAACTTTAGGTATTTTTTTTCACTTCTTCAAGATCTGAATGGAAGTACAAAGCACATCAAGAAGGGAAATGAATATAAATTACACTAATCTTCCATCATGAAAGCAATTCTAAAAGAGGATGCCATATACCTTTGTTTCTAATCATTAATTTTTTATATGTGCTTAGAACTGATGAAATGCATTAAAACAGCTTATTGAAAATACATAAATTAATCACCAGTATATGTAATGTATAGCAAAATTTTATGAGAGTATATTTTTCTTTAGGAGAGGGCAATAAAATATTCCATTACATTTACTAGCCAACTAATTTAATCAAATGATATCCTGCTTAATGGGAAATCTGTATCTTTTAGTTTTCTCTCAAAGTAATGCAAAAAATGGTATATGGGAACAAAAGGCTTTGAGAGGGAAACCAAGGATTTCTAAATAAATAGACTTGATTCAACTGCTTAAAAACAAACATCACAAATGACAATGCTTATGCAAACGTAAAGTGGTAAAAAGCTGCCCATATTCTTACCGAACAGGAGGTTTTACATTATGACAATGAGATGGTTGTGAATTTAGGGAAACAGGATGGGATGAAGGAATCTTATATTCATCATCATCTTCCTCTACTGGGTCTCTTGTTTTCTCTGAAAGACAATTTGCTAATGGACCAGTACACCTATCAGGGGAAAAAAAATCCAATCTAGTTTTAGCATAATATTCTGAACAGGCAAGTCTGATATGACATACTTAAGTCAAAGAATATGTTCATTTTTCAATTACAGGGTGACATCAGAGGAGCTACTTTTATATTAAACACAAATGAAAAGGATTTTCGATCTTTTGTTGAGACTTTTGATTGAATAAAAAAATTTTCATCCTTATAATTTTAAATGGCACAACAAGAAAAACTAGTAACCTGTCAAATAAAATAAAAAAGTATTGGAGTTGTAAGACAAAATGCATAAAATTATTCAAACCAAAGCTATTAAAATACTAACATGTTATTCTAATTTAAATGGGTAAAGTATAATGTTAAAAATAGATATGTAGTAGTTTTATATATAATATATTAATGAAGTCTTTACAGAAGGGTCAAATGTTTTGTCTGTTGTGAGTATTATTTATAGTTAAACATATATCTTATTCATTTATTTATTAAACTTTAATTCAATGAAACTTAATTCTTATAAAATCATAATTCAAGTCGTTAGACTTTTTTCCCCCACAACTAAGAACTAAAAATGAATAATTAGAAGCAGAAAATGAGAACACGTATTGTTAAATCTTTGAAGTACAATACATTATTTTTATGGCATAAATTACCTGGCTAAATAAAAGAGAATTAAAATGAATGAATTAAAATGAATAAAACAATCACCTGATGTACAAAAAAGTAAGCATTTTACTTATCTGTCAGGGTAGATAAACAACAAAATGAACCCCAAAAAACAGGCACACAAAAACCTACTGCTTTTTACAGTTGTTGCTACTGGAATTTAACCCTTGTTGATGCCAATGAAAAATGCCAAAGTAGAAATGTACAAGTCCCATGTGAGCAACTTTAGGACAAACAACTAGTTTGGAAGACACTGGAAATACATATGGATCCAAATCCTTTTGTTAATCATCATGAAATTCATGAGAAATATATTTCATCAAAAAATAAAAAAATCTAAAGTGACTGCAATTTTGAAACACCTTCTGTAGAGGGAGCAAGAGGCCTTTGGTACATGAAGCCGTCAGTCTGAACTTTCCTTTGGATTTCTTCTTATTAGTTAGAATGGAAACAATTTTAGGGGCTTTTCTTTGTGCTCATTACAAGATGACACTTTGAAAAACTTAAAGGTTTTCAAGTTTCAACCATATTATCTAAGTTTCTAGGAAGTTTAGAGACCAAAGGAAAATTTCTCCTAAGATTTTTCAAAAGTGTATTTTTACCCCTCTTGGAAAAATTTTTCTATACTAATATTTAAATTCTTATTTATTTGAGCGACCTTTGAATTCACATGACAGTTTATGGGGAGATGAAAGCACAGTGATATACTTACTGAAGGTATGATGTCACTGCCCAGAGTACAAGCTAAGAACCTTATTAATAATCTAAGGGTTACCATCTACTATAATTTATTCTTAAAAGATTTACTTTCCTACTGAAGGCAGGTAAGTATATAAACTGCAAAATGGTGATTTGATGGCATTGGAGCAGGGATTTAAAACGTTACATTTTCATAAATTCTTGTAAACACTGACATCAATTTCGCTAACTCAAGGACCAGAATGGGTTCTACTACCAAATGAAATGAGAAATATATGCTGTACATCCTTTCTAAGCCCTAATACAGATTCATTCATAATAAATATTTTTTCTATTGAACTCAAGCATATACTATATAAAAATAATTTTTTGATTAAATATTCAACAACCACATCAATGTCAGTAATGTTCTAAGATCTATCTGCTATAGGTTATTCCAAAGATTTACGTTTGTGAAGAAGCACTTCATTATCAGTCAAAAATAGACAGTTTTTTTTTTTTTTTTTTTTGAGACAGAGTCTCGGTTTTGTTGTCCAGGCTAGAGTGAGTGCCGTGGCGTCAGCCTAGCTCACAGCAACCTCAAACTCCTGGGCTCGAGCGATCCTTCTGCCTCAGCCTCCCGAGTAGCTGGGACTACAGGCATGCGCCACCATGCCCGGCTAATTTTTTTTATATATATATATCAGTTGGCCAATTAATTTCTTTCTATTTATAGTAGAGACGGGGTCTCGCTCTTGCTCAGGCTGGTTTTGAACTCCTGACCTTGAGCAATCCGCCCGCCTCGGCCTCCCAAGAGCTAGGATTACAGGCGTGAGCTACCGCGCCCGGCCAAAAATAGACAGTTTTTGAAATCATACCTGTTGCGGCTAATTTTTACCTTCAATGATAGAGAATGTAGTATAGATTGTTAGTTTAAATGGGTTTTAGTGACAGATACAGAAGTGAAAAGAAGTCTTCAAGTGATGCTTTGTATCTAAATATGAAAAAATACTTACATGTCCTTTATTATCATTTTAATAAAGTATTAAAGATTCAGGTTTATTTTTATCTTTTAATGTAAACTTCTCAACCAGTATAATATTCTAATTAGATTAAAAATAAGCCAATTTATGATATTTCAGTGTATTTTATCCAATATTACATATTTTTAATGAAAAACCCATCTTATCCAGCTCTATAAGAAAAAAATAAAAGCAATTTCTATCACAAAAAATAGAAGATATAAATATGATAAGTTGTATCTAAAAAACCAAAAGGCAAACCTTAATTTAATATCACTCTTTTGTAATTAGATGTGGATTTTTTTTCTACAAACTCATTCAAAAAGCAGGTTCAATTTTACTTGATAATAAATAGTGGTAAAATAATTGGATTTAAAATTATACTTATCTATTCATGTATACATTACTTTTGGCAGTAGAAAAAATTTAACTTATGGAACACGAGACAATTTTTAGTCATTGATTTAACTTATGGGAAATCTTTAGGGTATCAGAGGAATGAAGTAGAACAAATTGTATTTTAGCTGGTTCACAGTTAAATAAAGCTGCCAAGTAAACCATCCTACCATTTACACCCATTACTGCATTCCCTTTATATTTTCACTCTACATTCAGAGTGTTCTGCACTGTGGCTGTCATTCCTGAGTTAAGACACTGGTAATGCACAGGGACATACACTCTCAAAGATGCACAGCTACCCTCTCCCCAACCTGCATATTTTGTTAAATTCACTGTGCATTAAGTTATTTGAACCTTCAGTGAGAAACACATTCATTTTATACATGTGCATGCTTGAAACAAACCAAGAAAATGGTAAATTTTTAGGCCAGCACAGGGGAACATTTTGCAATGCTGTACTTAGTCAGTGACTTTTACATCTTGAAACTGAAGGCTCACAAATGCATTCCTGTAGAGCATTCTATATTCTTGGTGTGAAAGGTATATTTTAAGAAAGCTGACCTTCTGAATATCCTGTTAGCTCTAACCCTTTATAACTTATACCTCAGACATCACCCCTGCTTTTCTTCCTTCCTTCATTTGAGCAATTTATGATGCCTCAATAACGCCACCAATTTTCCCAGTAAAAAAAAGCAAAGTAGAAATATCCATCTTTATTTTCTACATATGAAATTCAGGTGACATTGCCCCACAAATTCAGTAGTTTTCTTAGAACTTTAGTTAATCTTTTCTGTTATGGATACTTCACATATATTCATTCATTGATGCTGTGTTTTGTACAGATTCACCTACATTGTCTCTTCTATTTGTCTTATGTTGCAAAACGTTTAAGGGTAGACTTTAAGTCAACCAAATCCTGGCATGGAATGTGTATAGTTGAGCACTTATAAGCTTTTAGACAACAATAACGAGTGGTTATTAGAGAAACAAATGGCCAACTTGGTAAGGGAAAGAAATCAATCATTTGTAGGAAACTTTTATAGTCTAGAAGAGCATTTTAAATGTGATACATCATTTTGCTTGTTTTCTACACATAAGAATCTCTCATTTAATAATATCTGAAGGCAATGCTATAAAAAATTTTATTAAAATATAATCTTTAGAGCTTGCATGTACATTTTTTCATTTTTTCTGGTGTTATACTGTCCCAATCCTAATTGGAAAAATGCCTAACTCAAAGAAATCAGAGGCCAGAGAATAGGTAAAACAAAACATAGCCATATTTGAAATGATTATTATACAAGTGCCAGAAATAAATCATTTCCCCCAAATAGTAGAATGAGTTTTATGATATGCATGCTAATTTTGAAGGTTCTTTCATGACATCAAAAAAAGTAAGTGTGGTATGCTTTCAAGTTTTAAGATAAGCTTTAATTATATGCATTATCGCTGACTACTTTGTAAATTGGAGAAATCTATTTAAAGTTGTCTTGCACTTGTGTTCTGTCCAGCTTCCATGCACTTCACACGAATAACCTCATGGCTTGCTCCTTTACTTCTTTCAGGTTTCTGTTCAATTATCCTTTCAGATAATATCCTAATGACCTCATATAAAGTATAAATCTGTCATTATTTATTCCCTTCCATGCTTATTTTTCTTCCTAGCACATACCACTAGCTGACACTGTATAACATAGCTATTTGTTTACTTTCTGTCCTTCCTAAGCAGAGAATAAATTCCAAAGAAGACAAGGAATTTATCTTATTCACACTGAACCTCTAGTCTTACAGCAACTAAATGAAAATACGACAGTTAGGTAAAATTTGGATTCCCTGGTCACTGAGAATTTAAAACCTAAGCACCTTATCTAGTTAGAAAAATGTATAAATAATCAACAATACCACCTCCAACAACAAAAAACTTTTCTTATAAAAATACAAACCAAGTAATATTGGTTCATGGATATTGAAAGCATAAGTTTTATATGTTGAAAGTACAAAAGGTCCATTTCTAAAAGACAAAGCACAAGAAAATATTCTTCTAAAAAAAGACATTCCTCAGCATTCCAAACATTATTTTACCTGGAAGCAATTACTCCATTATTACTTGTAATAAAGCCTCTGTTTATTTGCCAACATAGTGTGCCAAGTAAAATAAATATTTTCTTAACTGGTTAGAATTTCATTTAGTTTGATTTTGAAAAATCTAATTATTTCAAAGTGAATATAATTTAGTAAATAGTTTCAACTATAAAGTAAAAATATTCCAGAGGATTATTTTATTCTCCTTCTAAAAAATAATTACCCAATGTTTCAAGCATTTATTAAAATTTCATATTTATAGCTAAGTTTCAATGTTAATTATTAAATCGAAACCATTTGTAATAGAAAAACCACTATTTCAGAAAAAATAAGTATATCTATACAAACAATCACAATTTCAGCTTACTTTTACAACAGTATGTTTTTTAGAAATAAATTCTATACTCTTCTAGGTCTCAAGATAATTTATACAATAAAAGTCACATAGCAAGAAAGAAAATACTATCACCGAGTAGCCTCTAACATCAGGTAAATGGGAATCAGAGTAACAATATCATATTGAACAATTACACTTCAATAAATATTTATAACAACATAATATAGATTTAAACGTAAATGTTAGCTTTGACATTTTTATTTAACAATAGAGTTTTCAATATTTGTGAGAACTACAAAAGTTAACGTTAGATAGCAATTTATAATTTTGTTTTGGCCTAATTTTAAAACATGCACTAAGAGTCAAACATGGAAATGGATACTTGCATGATCAACACCCTTAATTCAATGAATGACATTTTGCTAAAATCACTGTTCTAAGACTCTGGAGAGCCAGGAGTATATACTCATTGTATTCTAACTATACACTCATTAATGAGGCCAATGTAGACCAATCACCATCATCATCAACCAAAGCAGTAATCCAAATGATTTCAGCAAATGTGATCACCTGACTATAGATGAACATTCAGGCTGCAAAATTTCATACATAACTTAACACCATGAGTGACCTGCAAAAAACATATTGCATAAAAACTAAAAAGTTGAAGCTCAAAAGGATTTTGGAGATCATTTAAGTTAAATTGATAATGTCATTTATCAGATGGAGAAAATGAGGCCCAGAGAAGTTCCCTTGTTCAAAATAAGACAAATTACTTAATGTTGGAGTCAGGTTTAGAACCCAATCTGACTTTATTCTACTGTTCACATGAGAACCCTATGCTGGTTTTATAAAAAACACAGTGCATAAATAATTAAGAAAAATACTTATTATAATATTAAGTGGCAAAGAAGGTCATGAAATTATCTCTATAATATAATCCAAATGATGTAAAAAAACCAACATGAAAAAAGTCAAAATGTTAAAACTGTATTTTGATATTTTGGTGATGTGTATGCCTACATTTATGTATTTGTCTTATTGTTTTCTTTCTTTCACATACTTTGCATATTTTCTACAATGAACAATTGTTACCTATAGAGCCAGAAACAAAAAATAAACTAGAGAGATAAATGTGTCATTAAAAGCTCACACTTGTGTTGTTAACTATGGCTAACCTGCAGCATGCAAACTAGAAAGCTAATTTACTCTTGAGCATGCATTGTTAAAATATTTCTCTAGTTAAGTAAAACAACTGTACTATTTCTGTGGAGAAAATCAAGAGTAAATATGAAGAAAGTATAACCACAGGGCTAATGTTAGATGCATTTACAAATTGAGGTATTAGAAAAATATCAGTAAAATACATTTTACTATGAATTTGTTATTTTTTCTGTATTCACAGGAGAAGCAGGTACTTAATGTTAAATACATATGAAGGAAGCCACAACCTCTACCTCTCAGCCCGCTTATGAATATTAATTTAATAAACAGAATGTAAAAACTTAATCTCTAATTAGCAAAATTTCATTTACTTCATTTTCTAATGTTCTCTGAATTATCAGAGGTAATTGAGCTTTGACATCTTGTTACATACACATATATGCAGAGTTCATGCAGGGCTAGAATATCAGCATCACATGCTGTCACTGCTTTCAAGCCTACTACACAGAATATGTGTAATTGCTTCCAACTCCTATGTCTGCTAAATAACTGGCAGTTCCAAGAAAAGTTCCCACTAGAGAATGGTTTGGTTAGCTGGATTTCCCACTGACCCGTGAACAATGTCAAGTTTCACACCCTTGCTTTTTCTCATGCACTGCCTTTTCCAATCATGTCCATCCTCCATGACTCAGAAAATTTCCATATCTGCTACGAAATATTCTTGTCTATGGTAAGCCTTTCCTCCAAACTCATTTAAAACAATTTATTATTATAAATTTAGTGCACAGTGTTCTCTAGTGATTTGATATATGTTAATTTTATTTTCTAAAGCAGACTGCATATTTCTTGGGGGCTGGGATTTAGCTTATGCTTCTTTTTCATTCATATGCATAGTGGGAGTTCAATGATCTGCAGAGAAAGGAATGAAGAAGCTCTAAGACTTTCAATTGGAAATAAGGACCTTAGCAAATAAAATTAAAATCAAACAAGCAATCAGGTATTCTCCATGTGCTTACTATACATCAAATATAGGTGTTATGGGAGAATCAAAGAATACAGATAAGGATTTGTCCTCAAAACTTTATATAATGTTTTTAATTGGGAGAGCCACATTAAAATCAGAAAACAGTATTGGTTGAGTATATAATTAAATGTGTAGAAAAGAAACTACAGGAAGAGGAATGCAAATCAGCCTTAATCATTACAACTGAAGAAGTCAGAGATTTCATAAAGAAATAGAGCCTAAGACATGGACCTTTAGGATAAATGGTCTGAAACAGTGGAACATAGGAAGGAAGAGTGTAACAATCTCACAAAGCCAGAAAAAAAAATCCAGATAAAATTACAGGGTAACTATTAGGAATCACTGAAAAATATTCTAGATGGCTAAAATTCTGTAGAATTTTAGCTAGCAGAAGAGTACAGAGTTCATTGAGTTGAAAAAAGGAAATGATGCTTGTTTTGGAGTGGGAAAGTGACCCAGGAAAGACAGAATTTAAATTCAATGAACTCAGCTGTAGTGAACAAAACATACTGGAGGAAAGGAAGGCAGTCTGACATCATATAAAGAGTAAGAAATGCAAATTGGGATGCTTGGTTTCATCCTGGTTTAACTTGGGCAGAGAAAACGTAACTGTCCAGTGTACCTCTGTATCCTCATTTTTCAAGTGAAACACCCAGGTTATCACATTTTTCTAACTTTAAATCCATTGATACTAATTCTGAGATCACATCAGATGATCAGGTAAAAGACTATTTCAGTTGTCCAGCTCTGAGGCAAAGTTAGGGCAATGGGGAAGGTTAGCTGAATGTGAAAACTCCAAAAGAATAATCTGCAGTATTTAGTGCCTGAATGGACTGAGAAATGGAAAAACTGGAGGAACCAAAGATTATTTTATGATGTCAACCCGGGTAGTTGGGATAAAATGCAATACTTCTGATGAAGAAAGGTAAATTGGATGGGAGAGCTCATTATGTTAATCTACCCACTTCTTCGAAGAAATACTTAGCTTTCTCTCCCTGTAGTTCTATGTGGAATATCAAGAGTTTAAATAAGTCTCATAGAACCTGTGGTTACTAGCAAAGGATTAGAAAGGATTCTTATTTCTGGCACTTTATAAATCCAGTTGGAATGTTTTTTATTGATGCCTTTTTATTCATCCTGCAGGTTTCTGTACTGAGAAGTTCAAAATCAGTTTTTACCATATCTTTCTGCATGGACAAGCGATCTACAAATTGAACAAAACTCACTTTATGCTAGGGAGAAGGGTGGTAACTGGAGGAGGAGGAGATAGCCGGGGAGGAACATCATATTCTTCACTTCCAAGGTGACCATTGGAAAAGACCTGAAAGTAAATCAAACGTTTAGTTTCCAAGAATTTAGATTTTGGAGGACCTTAAAACAACAGTAATGCTTAGAAAACCTAGTTTTGAAGAGAATATATAGGTTCAGTATTTTCAAACAAGTGAAATGTCCTATAATTTATGTAGGAGTCAGTATCACCATAGTGATAATGATTCACCATCACCCAAAGTAGTACCAGGTTATAGGGGGAGAAATATGATACAACATGATTCATAAGCATAATTGAGAGGTAATATTGTAATTTATATAAATTAGATATAGCTAGATAAAAGGTAGTAAAATTCATCAACTGTGATGATTTTTTATTGAAAACTTAGCACTTTCTATAAGGAAAAAAGCAGCACTGCTGCAATTCTTATTTCAATTCCTTCCAAATGAAAGTCTTCTAAATTATCTCTCTTCAGGCTTACCAGAACATTCTTAAACTTCCTGATAAAACAGTACACAAGTATAATCAGAAATGCCTTTGGTCTTTCAGAGTTGAAGCTTCAACACTAATGATAACTGGAGACCTGTTCTGGTTTTCAAAGTACAGGCAAATTTAAACCTAATTGTCAGTTTGTGAGCACCACAAACCACAATTGTTAACTTGCTCCTAAGGTATCACTGACAGCCAGTGTTCGATTACTGAGAATTACAAAATTTTGATTTCCACGTTTCTCAGTCAACTACACAGGAACTGTCAGAACTGCTCTTTGCTTCTCCAATCACTTGAAATTAGAGCAACTTAGAACGGGAAAAATGAGAGGATAACTTTCCAAAGACATATTCACAAGAAAAAGTTAAACATATTTTAAGGCCTGTATGTAATCATTGGATTTTTATCATGGAGCTTTTTTGCAAACTCTTATTAATCCATATTTAAAAGACAGAAAGACGGTGGAGCCAAAAGGATCTAATGTAACTTGAATATTGATAGACAATTCAGTCAAGGTAATTAATACCAATTACTTTCCCTTCCTGTTTCTAAATGGTGTTGAAGATTTAGAACTCAAAACTGAAAGGCCATACCCTTACTTATCAACCTAAAATAAGAAAGAAATAAGTTTAAATAAAACATTTGAAATATATCAATGCTTATATTTCAAATTTTATAGCATTAAAGTTTCACTCTAAAATTTATGTCCCATGCTTTAGCTCCAATTTCTCTTTTTCATGTATCCCCTCCTTAGATTGAATGTACTGTAGGTACACCATGACAAAATATACTTTAAAGGAAATGATTTTATCATAGGCTTTTGACTATGAGCCAAATAAGAGAATAAGGCAAAGTTTTTTGAACTTTGCTAGAGAGAAGAAATTTCCTAATAGATATTAATCATTGTAAAGGTCAATGAACCCTTTCACATAAAAAAATACCTTTTGACTGATAAATACAAGTATCAAACCACAAATGCTCATTGTGATACTGAGCATTTAAAGTCATTATTATTTGGAGTTCTTTGCATGCTGCTGGAATAGGTATATAAGACTTCCTCAATCATATCTCCTTAATGTTTCTGTCACAAATACATTTAAAATTCATTCTGGAAAATGTAATGTGGATTTTATATGCAAAACTTTATTCTTTTAGGGCAAAGCAGCCAACATAGATAGATACTTAATAAAACGTCAGCAATGATAAAATAAAAGAGAGATATGGGAATAATAGTTTCAATTGTACTGGCTCTAATAAACAATAAACTGACCATAATTTTATAATCAGAACATTGTGAACATATCTGTAAAAGAATATCAACACACTCATTTATTGATATTGAAAATGCTTTCATCTTGCACATTAGGTAAATGAGAGAATGAATATATTAACAGAGCTTACACAATATTTTTATGTACCACCATTAAATTTCATGAAGACAAGTCATGCAGGCAATAATGTCTATCACTAGTAAAAACATAAAGTACAGTTAATAAGGTAACTTATTTTTTAGGAAGGTAATACCTCAGAAAATTAAGTGATTTGTTCCCTAATTTTATGAAAAAAATCCATTAATATGCTTTAAACTGCAAACAGAACTTTCTCTAACTGCTTTAGAAACACTGTTATTGATACACAGTGACTAAATGATTTCTACTGCTACTGAAATGCTTCAGTATCTTTTCTGAACCATTTATTTGGTGCTTGGAATCTAATGATATTTTGCTCATGTTCTGTGTAGTTATGTTCCATGGAGGAGAATTCATGCCACACTGAACCTCTTTTAGGACAAAACTTTTTTATTTCTTTATTATTTTATAGTACATTCCTTACGGGGCTTTACATACATGAATGAATACTGACTACTGATGGCTTAGATGATCTTATTAATAAAAGCATTAGCCAATGAAATTACTTCCTTTAGGTACAGATGGAAGAAACTCATTAGATTATTGAACTACTCTTAGCAAACATATGCAATATGCTTAATGGCTCATCTTCCCACAAACTGTTCTAAAATATGTACTGAGAGTTAATATAATAATAAGCCTAATACCAAACATGGAATTCTGTATAGTTCTTTCTTCATTAACAGAAGTTACACAAGTGTGCAAAGGCAAAGGACCTAAATATGCAGATACTAGAGTGATGTTCATATTTCTTTTCATCTAAGGTGATATTTCTTGATAGTGGTTGGAGGACATTTACATCTTTCTGAATTCTGTGTTCCCACTTGCACCATTTCATTAGACCAGAAATCATTTTAGCTATCACTAAATGATTTATTCCTCTGAGTGCAATAAATCACAACTTTTTGAGCTAAAAATAAATATTTTATGTTCTCTAGAAATCTAAAAAACCTGTTTGCAAATGGTAGAAAACTAAAGTTCTTTAAATGTATAGACTGACAGTATCAACTGAAGCAATTCACACTGAAACATCATCAACTTCTCAACTAAGAAATATATTTTTGTCCTCTGCCTTCCTAGCTCACTGTCCCAAATCTATCACAATTCCATTGAAAATGCTACCAACTTACATTTTTTCAATGCACCATTCTGATCCTATCATTCTTCTGCCAAAACAAAAACAAAAAAACTTTAAAAGCTCTATCCTGCCTACTAAATTATAACTTGGTGTAGAATTCGAAACTCCATAATTGATTTCAATCTACATTATCAGTCTTATATCAACTGCCTATATGCCCTATACACCATCCCAAAGTGACTACATATATCACTATATACATTGTCCCACCTCCATGCTATTCCTTTCTGTCATGCCTACAAAAATAACAGCTGCCAATCTTTTAATGTCTATAGCCAGTGAACCTCTTGCATGAAGCTTTTTTTAGTCGTTTTTGTATACTACATCTCAGAATTTTTTTTTTCTTCCTGGGGATCCCACATATTTTCTGGATGCTTCTCATATGCCTTATCTCTTAGTTAATCACATACCTGTCTCATCTTCACTAGCCTGTGTTTTACTCATCTTTGTGTTCCCCAGTGTCTTCAACATCCTAGGTACTCACATATATCGCTGAATTAGGCTGAAGGAATAAGAATATATTAGTGGAAGTTTAAATTTGCAGAGGAGGTATAATCTGGGTTGTATAAGGTATCATCTAATTCTAATCTGGAAGTCTGAAATGTTTTCATATGATTCAGATATTGTCTAAAAACTGAAGGGACCCTTGAAATAACAGAGAAAACAAAATAATGTGAAAATCTTAGCACAATTTTAAAAAACTTGTATAAATTTTTTAAAAACCCTAAACACAAACCTTGTCCCATTCCTACACAAATACCATACACTATCCCAAAAATATTCGTATATTTTGTTCTTCAACATTAGACTGCAAATGAAACCAATGTATACTGTTTTTTTGAAAGAAAGCCCCTGAAATGTACAGAAAGTTTAAGGTCATTCACATAAACATGTGCTTCTCCACTAAGAGTGCAAAAAGTCACAGTCTCAAGAAGGGGGATCATTTGATGTGTTTATTTAGCAATATCTTCAAAATATTATTATACACAGAGTCATTTTAGAACAATATCATTGTAATTAACATGACTAAAGATAGTTTTTATCACATAACACATAGAGGTATTTTTAATCTCTCAAGGGGAACAAATATTGACAGCTGGGTACAAAGTGAATATCTAGAAATAAGTAGATAAATTTCAAGTTTCTAATATTTTGGTGCAAATATTTTTATCTGAGATAACCAAAACAATAAGTATCTAGCCAACAAGATATTTATTAAAAACAGCTTTATAATGTGGCTAGAATCTAAGAATTTCAGAGAATAGAAACAGTGTTATAGGAAAGAAATCTTATCAATAAAACAAGATAAATATACCTAATAATTCTCAGCTTATAGGTTAATATTAAAATTAAAGTATTACCTAAGCTAACATTTGATTATGCTAGGTGGGCGGGAAAGAGAAAATGGAATAAATGAATGCCACAGAAAATTCTTATACTTCATTTTAACTATGATTTAGAAGATTGTTTCCCTCAGAGCTCTGGACTATTAGCAAATGAAGTAATTAGAGATTTATTATTTATTTAATTTATATTTATTTAATTTAATTTATTTTCATATCCCTTACCATCTATCTAGTTATGATATGAAGAAAAAGGGCAGATCATTCTTATGGATGATGGGATCTGGCTCAAGAACAGAGGACAAACAATGACTCATCCATTTGCAGGGTGTTTAGATTTATAAATTCCCCTTCTGGCATTTCATATGTACATTTTTATTTAAATTTATAGTACTTATCTAAGTTTCCTTATCTCTAAAACCCGAAGATGATATTTAATTTGAAGCATCATCTCTAAAGAAAATGATTAAACCTAAATGGCAATTACTAGTTGACAAAAGAGTATATTTAGAGGGATTGATGGGTTTTGTAAAAACAATAAATCAGCCTCGAAATATCTAAATCTTCACATCCTTTGTTCCTATGATAAGACACCATGAAACAAAACTACACACTAAGTAGAACCTAAGATTAGAAATATTAGATTCTACCTAAGATTTCTACCTTTGGTTGAAATACCAATGTTAGCTGTAACATGAAATTATCTTTGAGAGTTTAAACACTTTAATATTAATACTCACAATATATGAGATTAGACATTAAACATCTTAATGAGTATGATTTGTATAAAATTAAACAAGATTAAAATCCAACTTTCAGTAAGAGATAAATGTTGTAATCAACTCAGTGTTCTCTTGTATATTGATCTGTATCAAACATGAAAGTTCACATAGAGACATTTGAAGGAATTTTCATAACTGAACTCATTATTGACATTTCATACCCATATACTTAATAAAAAAATCTCATACCTACAACCTAATAATATGTGACCCCCAATGTTTGAAACTATAATATCCCATAAAAATTAATAGCTAGTGTTTTTAGGGCTTAGGAGGGCAAATTTATATTAGTGCTAAAACTATATAACATAAAATCTGAAATGAGAGGTCCTCATTGGTAATGATAATTATTATATTTTAAGTATTTTTGAAGTTTATTCAGAGAATAAATTTACCAGACAGTTCACAGTAGAGCTTGTTCTAACATTTTCCCCAAGACAAGTGTGATTACATATGAAAAAGAAATCACTAAAAAAAGAGTTGTAAAAAATTTTTTGCAGATAAGCTCTCCATTTCAGAGAACATTATAAAATTGCATATACGTGCTTTCTCTTATGTTTACATCATATTTAGATGATCTTAATGAAATTACAGATCTTCAGATTTATAATACATGAGACTGAACGTACTAAGGTGAGTCACTTTGTTTTGAATGCTGCACTAGAAGAGTTTTGACCCTTAATATTCTGTCTACCCTAAAATTGCATGATGTTAAATATTGCTCTACAAAGTTTTCATTATCACCATACCTGTGTGAACACACACACACACACACACACACGCACGCACACACAGAGGACTTGAGTACATCTCACATTTCTTCCTCATTCCCTGAATATGTTTATAAGGTTAACTCACCAACTTTGAATCATTATTTTGAAGGAATAGACAACTCCCCTAAATAACACTTTAAGATCTATAGAGATGGGAATCACTTTAATATGACAATCTTCAAAGGTGCCAAAGCCTCCTTCAGTAGAGGAAAGATGGTGATGATTTGATCTTAGAGCCAAAAAATCATGGAAGCAAATACCGGAAAATATTACAGTACATCTCTGCCAAGCACTACCAAGAGTTCTACACTCAATGATTTGTGCTGATGTCTCTTCAGGTCCCTGTACACATAAACTCTTTCCTGGACATATAAATGACAGTGGTAACATCCTTCAAGTTAGAAATCAACAAGTGTGAGATTTCTCAGTTTAACCGGGGAAGAGCATTCTTTGTAAGAGTGAACTAGGTTTGGTGTTTTCAAGTGTGTGAGAAGTTCATTTTACCTGGCTGCCTAAAGTATACTGTCCTAGGCAACAACAACTAACTCCAACAACTGATTTAAGACATGTATAATTATATAATTTTTAATTGGATAGAACTAGGAGAGTTTTAAAAATATACAGTACTGATTATACCACCACCAAGTTATTAATAGGGTAAATTTTTGGCAAATGAAATAAGGAAGGTGAAATAAATCTCTGGCAAATTATCTAGTGTTTTGACATTAAAATTAAATCATTACTTAGAACCTTCTTCCTGACTTCTTTCGAGTTCAAGTTTTAATGAGCTTCTGATTATTTATAACTTAGAGATAACTAAAGACCTGCAAGGAAGATGCAAAAAACAAAACAACAACAACAACACAACCTGCCCAATCTTGCATGCTACCTACTATCAGAAGAGTTTGTGAGCAGATTCTTTAGCTTCTGCTTTGCATACTTCTTACCTTTGCTCCTTCTAGAGGCAAATCATGGCGTCTGTGTTTCCGCAGAAGCACTGGATCAGAGCCCATTCTACTGTGCCTCCCATTTACATTTGAACTTGCTGTGATTCCAGGCTTTGGAGAGCCATCCCCTAGGAGTCGACATCCCACCAACTGATTAGTCCCAAACACATCCCGAGGGCACCAGGCTTCAAGAGGCATTGGCTGGTCTCTGGAAGGCACACTTTCCATAGGATGGAAGTGTCGACTCAGTCTGTTGTCAGGTGGGATCGGGGGAGGTCTTTCAGGCGGAGGGGGAGGAGGATCTCTTAAGGGAGGAGGTGGTGCTGGAAGTGGTTTATCTTGTTTTCTCACCATGCAGGGAGAAGACTAAAGAAACACAAAAAGAAAAAATAATAATCCTTAAAAGTTGTACCATGCACTGAAATGACTTCCAGACTAGTATATTAATGCTTCTATGTTCTACGCCATAATAAAGCTTTATTAGATTCCTATGCAATCTTTTAATAAATTTCTTTTTATCACTAGTTAATGAAATTTTCAAAAGTAATGAAAAACTCACATAAATACATTTCATTAAGATTTTTTGTAGAAATAAATATGTAAATGCCAATGTTATAGTATAGAAATTAAATAGAAAAAGTACAAGATCAAAATTATATTATGACTTTGATTAACATTAAAATAATGTCAATAATTAATTTATTTATACATTTCTATAATTTAGGAGACATAGGACAAATCTATCAAAGTTGGTGCAATTGTCTTAGTTTCTTTAGGGAGCAATTTGATTTATAATGTTTCTGTAAGATTAAAAGCTTTTTTAAAAATTATTTTTGCTTCTATCACTGCAATATAAGAGTAAATGATATGGGTAAATTTGCTCTGGTTCTCTATCTTAACAGTTAGTACCACAGTAGTGAAAAAACACAAATAACAGAGCAGTATTATTTATAGAATTTCTTTTCTCTTGAATTCTTAAAATGAAAAAGAATCAGTCTGATTCTTACATGGAAACATAAAGGTATAGATATACTCCTGAATTAAATGTGTATCTGTCTTGGCTTTGGATTTTATTCACATAGTTTATCTGATGAATGATTTTAATATTAGAAAATATAAAAAAGGAATCTTTTGTGTTTATATAATTCTAAGTAACATTCTAATGAGTCTTCAAATGATCTTACAAGTAAGTTAACTATAATGTAGGAAAATCAAATATTACTAAAAACATTGTGCTTCCAGTAAATTTTAAACTATAAAACATATTACTGAATAAAAGTAATTTTTAAATATGATATTTTTAATAAAGGGAAATATGTCCTAATTATCAAATTTAGAAAAAAATTCACACAGACTAAAAGTGTAGACTTAAATTTAAAGAGTTAGAATTATTCCTTTAATATCAAATAGTAATATAATTACTCTGCAAATGTTGTAATCCACTGTAATTAATTCCTTCAGGTATATAAAGTACATATAATTCCCTCTTCTGAGTCACCTTGAAGCATGGGTGATAATTTATCACACTTTAAGCTCTTATGCAAATTTACTCCCATCACATTTTTCTTGTCATGGCACCATAAAAATGAGTGTAAAATATCATTTAGTAACAGCATGCAAATTATTTTAATGCATATAATGACATTTTAAATCCACTTTTCAGAATAACTATTCTTACTCTATTTATTTTAGCAAATCAGGGAGCCACACAGATATGCTGTCTCTCTTCAATATATGTAACTTTTATAATAATAAAGCAAGGAATATGATCATGGGCTCACCATAAACACAATGAGAAACCCATTAAAGTTGTTCATAAACAATTAAGAGCACAAAAAACATGAGTAATGGAATTTCAAAGAACCTGAGCAATCAATAATTGTCGAATAAAATTATTATCCGTATTTCTAATAAAATTGATTTACCTTTGGTGAACCAGTTGGGCTGCCACAGGGAGATCGAACTATGCCTTTCTGAATTAGATCCAGGCGAGGAGGTACTGGTGGCAGGCTTAGATGTGGGATCTGGAGAGCGTCCGGCTGTGGCTTTCTTCTCTGGGCAAGGGGAGAGGATCCTGGTGATGTGACTGGAGAGTTCTGTCTGTCAGTGCACTGGAACAGAAAGACAGAAATATGCTGCTATTAATTCAATGTATAGAGTGTATACCTTTTAGTACTTAAGGAAGATACCTGGTTTGAAGAAAGTATCTATCATTGTACATTTGTTAAAATAAACTCTCTTTTTACTTTGATTAATAGATGCAAACAGCTCACGCTGTCCCTCAAGGCTAGTATTATGAAAAGAATAGATCGATGGGTTTCTCTTATATATTAACAGAAAGGGCCTAGGAAAATAAAAATAGCAAAAGTGTAAAGAAATCAAATGCAGAGATTTTTCAAGAAACTCATCCATATTTTATGCTAAAATCATAAAGATGCAATGCTATAATGCACATTGCTCTTGATTATCTATACTATAAAATTTTCTTAGAACTTTGTAGATTTTAAAACTTAGAAATTGCTTTGTTCAAAACAAAATATGCATCTAGTGCATAGTTAATTTTACTGCAAATCAATTAAATCAGAAGGGGTTTTTAAAAATAATTGTACACTTAAAATAAATCAGGTGTAAGCCCAACTATTCTTTTCTTAAGCTTTCACATAGAAAAGAAATCCTCACGTTAAACATTTTTCGTTAAAAACAATTAACTAAATGTTAGATATCTGTACTACTGCTAAAAATGATTAAGTTTCTATTCTACTACAAATTTTCTATCCTGTTTGGTAGATGAAATAGCATCAAAAAACCAGTAACAAGTACTTTCATTTGTACCTATACAACACTTCTATTTTGGAAGTGTGTGTGTGTGTGTGTGTGTGTGTGTGTGTGTGTGCGTGTGCATGTGTCTCTGTGAATCTGTGTTTTCTTTTCTTTTCTTTTTATTTTTTTATTTTATTTTTTTTGAGACAGAATCTCACTCTGTTGCCCAGGCTAGAGTGCCATAGCATCAGCCTAGTTCATAGCAACCTCAAACTCCTGGGCTCAATCAATCCTTCTGCCTCAGCCTCCCGAGTAGCTGGGACTACAGGCATGGACCACCATGCCCAGCTAATTTTTTCTATATAGTTTAGTTTGCCAATTAATTTCTTTCTATTTTTAGTAGAGACGGCGTCTCACTCTTGCTCAGGCTGGTTTCAAACTCCTGACCTTGAGTGATCCTCCTACCTTGGCCTCCTAGAGTACTAGGATTACAGGCGTGAGCCACCGCGCTGGGCCTGTGTGTTTTAATATGGTATAATGTGATTGCTATTTCTTATAAAATCGATACAGTTAATCAAACAGGCTTACTAAAATAAAAAGTGTTCTGTTCTGAAATACTAGGCAGTTTCCTTTTCAAGCATAAGTTACTAGCTCTTTGAAGATTTAGGCTTAATTTTTATAATCTACTACAATAATCTATCATGCTTTGATATTTATCTGTTTCTGAATGCTAGTATTTATAAAGTTTTAAGCTTGTTCTTAAGCCATTTCCTCCCCAACATTACTCACCTTTATAAGAATAGTTGATGTTATCACCTGGCAATTTAATCTGAACTCTAGCAACACTGAGAAAAATTTAGCCAGTCTGCCTTTATCTAAGTAAGGATAATAGATTTGTGTTCACATTCATACTTTGTTACATTGTGTAAGGCCTTTTCTTAATTATCAAAAGTTCATATTTTATTCAGCATTTTCTTAGTTTTTACCTAAGAAAAACTAAAGTCCTTTTCTGCTCTGGCATCCTATGCAGGGTATTACATTAGTTTCAGCCATTATGTCTCCTTACTTTCCTCTTGGCTCTGACAGTTTCTCAGTTACTCATTGTTTTTGATGACCTTGACTGTTTTCCAGAGATATTTTAAAAAATGCCCCTTTATTGGGATTTGTCTGATGATTTTTTAATGATTAGCACGGGCTTAAAAGTTTTGGGGAGGAGGACCATGGAAATAAAGCATCTTTTTGACCATATCCTGTCACAGACTTATGTTATCAACATGATTCCTCACTGTTGATGTTCATCTGAATTACCTGGCTGAGGTATTTTTTTAGGTTTCTTCAACATAAAGTTTCTTCCTTTTCTCTCCTCTTTCCCATATGTACTCTTTGCAAGGAAGTCACTGCCTAACCTAACTTAATGACTGGGGAGTTGTGGTCTTTGTAAAGCTTTTTTAAAACTAAATGAGTGGTTAAGTAGCTTCTAGACCACATCCAAGTTATGCCTAATATTGACACGATGTTGCAAAATTACAAAGTCTTCAACTCTCTCACTAGATGCCAAATAACTTGAAAGAGTTCAACAAATTTAAACACGAATTTACATGACAATATTTAGAACCTTTTATTTTTAGTAATTTCATGTTTCTTCATATCTCTTAGCTTATTATAAGTTGAAAATTTTTTCAATTGCTACTAACTTGAAGGAGAAAAAAATAGAATCTGTATAGTCATAAACTGATTTTAGTGCACCCATGATTCTTAACAAAATAACAATTCTACCCCAAAATTTGTGGAGGCTCACAGGGTCATGAATTTAAATGTTCTAGAGCAAAACCAATCCAAAAGTCATCAGACAGATCAGAAAGAATTCCTCCTGTAAAGCTACTTGCATCCCAGAATGGCAGTACTGTCAGGAGATGTCACAGGACATCTAATTCTCCATCATTCCCATTAGATAAATTACATTCTCTGAGAAATAGCAAAACTGGTATCTGCTAAAAATGTTTTGTTGATCTTTGTATATATAAAGATATATATACATACATATATATATATATACACACACACACACACATATACACACGCACACAGAATGCATAGCACTTCATTTGTTTAATTACTTGCAGGTACAGTTTTCAGGGTTGGTGGCATACATTACAAACACTGGTGAACAAGACCTATGGTCCTCCAAGTGCTTTTCTTCTGAAAATATTTTCCTGTTTCCCTCATTACCTGCAACAGGACACAGAATTCTGACAGAGCCAAAAGCCCATCATCACTGTCAGAACTTGACTTTCAACCTGGACTGGATTAATTACTAACTACTATTTAAGTAGTTACCAAATTCCTAGCATGTTTAAATAGTGGGGTGGATTTCATTTGAAATGGATGAAGAGCTTGTTAGATACTGAAAGGGTACAGTGAAAATCCTTAGAACAGACATTTGAACTAATATGTGTGGTGAAGTAATAACCTTGAACTTTTACATAGTTCTAGACAAGCAGCCTCTCTTGTAGCCTTGTGAATGTAATTGTAACCAGACCTTGCTTAGCACAATTCATATTGTGTTCTGAAGGTGATTACATGCTGTCCTCCTGGAGAGTTAATTCATTTTGAAGCATTACAATATCTCTAAGTGGCTTAGTTAGAAGGTTTTGTAAAGAGTATGTGCAGGAACAAACATCATTTCATCTTTATTGATTATATAGACTAAATTCACCATAAATCATTTGTTTTCCTGAATTCCCCTAAAGTATAGTAAAATTCTCATATAAGAATAGATAATTTAACAATGCCTTTTTGATAGCATTAATTCTTTGTTGAACCTTTTGCTATTTCTATGAACCATTTTGGAACTAGGATACTGAACCTTTGCATTAACTTCTATTGCTGGTAGAATTCAAATTACGAAAATTTGCAAACATTTTTAGTAGGTAATTTCCCCATAAAAGGTCACTTTCAATTTATTTGAGTAATCACAAATTGTATTTTTCTTTCCTTCCTACTTGAAAGTCTAAGGAGGAAGGAAATCTAGCACAATATTGCGCAATCTAGTCCATAATTAAGTTTTTGGATGAGATATTAAAAATTCATGACATCAAAATTTATCAGTTCATTTTAAAGAAAAGGATAAAGTTTGTTCTTTTTTCCAACTGAAAATAAAGAAACAAAATAGATCAATTGAATGTAGATTGGAATTATTTCTCCTTTAATCTACAACACTGTCTCTATATGATATTTGCATTTTTATTGCTAATTTAAAAGACTTCGAATTCTAGAGTAACAGAACTTGTCCCTGTAAGGTTAGTCCTCAGGTAAAATAAATGCCTCTAAAGCTGGGACCTGACTAAGAGATGCAGCAACTCATCTTTAGTCTAGTAGTTTATATTATCCCCTAAGTTGACTCCATAATCAGTAATATCCCTCCAAGCTTCTCCTGGTCTTCTTCTTCCATGATTCTAATCCTCATTCTAAAATCACTTAGGCCAATTATGTTTTTCTACTTCTGACAGGTGATACAGGGAGTTGTTAGGGATAAGCAATAATAACAATAAACAACAAACATGAAACCAATCTGCTGTCTCAAGTTTAAATTCTAAGAATGTCAACTATGCTAACTCAATCATTCCTTACTGATTTGTTCAGTATTCCTCTTAATCATTACCACCTCTATCTTGTACATAAATGCAGGTTGAATACCTAAGTATAAAACACCTTGGTTAGAAGTATAGGAAAGCATTTGTTTAAATTCCAAATAATAACAGATAAGGTATTTTGTTGATAGAGATACTTTTTATCAGAAAATATGAATTTCAAGTGTGGCTAACTATAAAACTAAGCTCTAATGTATAGTTCAATATTATGAAGAACAAGTTTTTTTTTTTAATAAACATATAAATAAATGCATAACCTGACTTCAAATACAGATTTCTTATATTTAAATTTCAACTAAAATATTAAAATGCTACGTAGTCTTAGAAAAATCACCACCTATGGGTATTGTTAACTGCAGATTATAGAATAAATTTAACCCACCTGATAAGATCATTATAGGTTAATGAAATTAAATAATTTGCATTTCTTTAATGACTAATATCTTTTTTTTTTCTTTTTTTTTGAGACACAGTCTCATTCTGTTGCCCAAGCTAGAATGCCCTGGCATCAGCCTAGCTCATAGCAACCTCAAACTCCTGGGCTCAAGGAATCCTTCTGCTCCAGTCTCCCTAGTAGCTGGGATGACAGGCATGCACTACCATGCCCAGCTAATTTTTTTATATATTTTTAGTTTGCCAATTAATTTATTTCTATTTTTAGTAGAGACGAGTTCTCTTGCTCAGGCTGGTCTCAAACTCCT